AGTCGCTCCCTAGTGTCTTCTGCTGCGGTGCGTACACTGTCTGTGCCTGTCTGCAAGCCGTCGGGTGAGGACATGATCACGGCTATTAACGGCAACTCACTCGATATCACTGGCACTGTGGAGCTGACTGTCTCCCGTGATGACAACAATGTGTACCTGCCGAAAATCAAGGCCAAGTTTCTGGTAGTTGATTCTCTGGACGTGGTTCGCTCTGACATGCTGATTGGTCTTGACGTGATCTCATCGGCCGGTGGTGTTGCTCTGGAGTATTCAGAGAGTGACGGCCAGCTAACTGGTGCTGTGTTCGGAACGAGGCCAGTCGTGGCTGCAGTCGAGAGTAAGATCAGCAATGAAGAGCACTTGCCACGCCACGTTCAGGTCCGACAGGATGGAGACAAGGTCACGTTGGAGATGAGTGACTGTGAAGTGATGTTCGACCCCGAGAAAGGCTTCTGGGAAGTCACTTGGAAATGGTGCGACGGAGCTGCTCCAAGTTCACCTATCGGTACAGGCATCGGCGAGTATTCCCGCCAAGGATTATCGGATGATCAGGAGGTGAAGTTCGTCACCGAGGTCCAAAACTGGATTGATCAAGGATGGCTAGTTCCTTATGACGAAGGCTCGCACGGCGAGATTGGCGGTGTTTTGCCTCTGCTGGCAGTGTGTCAAGAGCACAAAGTGTCCACTCCGGTCCGCCCCTGTCTGGATTATCGCGCGCTGAACAGTCTCATTGTGTCTCATCCGGGCCTGGATGCACCAGCATGTGAAGAGAAGCTTCGGAAATGGCGCCAGTGCGGCGATGCTATGGATATCCTGGATATTCGGAAGGCCTTCCTGAACGTGCGTGTACAGCCTGCCTTGCAGCGGTTTCAGGTGGTGGCTTGGAAAGGTCAGAAGTTTGTCATGCAGCGCATGGGGTTCGGCCTTTCAATCGCACCAAAAGTCATGGATGCTATTGTCCGGTGGGTTACGAAGGACTTTCCGGCAACTGACAACTATGTGGATGACATCCTGACACCACGCCATCAGACCAAGGAGCTGGCTGCCTCTCTGCAACGGTATGGTCTACCAACGAAGCCGCCTGTGAAGCTTGAGGAGGCGTGCGTGCTTGGCCTGAAGATTGATGCTGAGGGAGACCAGCTGCGATGGGATCGTCGTGACCCGACATCCATTGATATTCCTGCTGTGCTGACGAAGCGTAGCATCTTTCGCTGGTGTGGCGCCCTGACGGCGCATTATCCTGTGTGTCGCTGGCTGCGGCCGATGTCAAGCTGGCTCCGTCGTTTGGCCTGTCTGACTGATGCATGGGATGAGCCGGTTCCAGAAGAGTTGCAGGTGTTGTGTCATGACGTCATGGCTCGGGTGCTGAAGGAAGACCCAGTTCATGGTGCTTGGAGCGTTCCAAGCGGCGAGGAACACTCCTGGAAGATCTGGTGTGATGCCTCGAGTATCGCCTATGGCGTGGCCCTGGAAGTCGACGGCCGAGTGGTAGAGGACCAATGCTGGCTGAGACTGAAGAACGACACTCGCCACATCAACCTATCAGAGCTCGAGGCGGTCATCAAGGGCCTGAGTTTGGCGGTTGAGTGGAATGTGCGCAAGGTGAAGGTCTTGACCGACTCCAAGACCGTTCATGGCTGGCTGAGCTCGCTTTTCGGCCACTTGAAGCGAATCAAAGTCAGTGGGCTGAACAAGGTGGTGGTTCACCGGCGACTCCAAATCATCGATGACTTGATCAAAGCGGCTGACCTCAGCGTTGATCTGGAGTGGGTTCCATCTGCCAGCAACAAGGCAGACGAGCTGACTAGAGTTCCTGAGAAGCTCGTCCAGTACTGGAAAGGTCAGTCAGGCGTCGGCGAGTTTGACGTCGGCGTGTCTGGTGCCTGCATCGATCCATCTGCTCTTGGCCCTGTGTCGCTCCAAGAGATAGCCAGCGAACAGGAAAGTGATGCGGCCATCACAGCGGTGATTGCAGCGAAGACAGCTGAACAGGAAGTTGTCGCTGCTGGCTACAAGAAGATCCAGAATCAACTCTGTGTTGCCGACGGTGTCCTGATGAGGAGCTTCAAGGTGCCGACTGGTGAAGAAGAAGTCGTTCCAGTAGTCCCAGAGTCTCTGGAGGAGAGAGTGTTGCGCGCAGCCCATCTTCAGACTGGACACGCCGGTTGGGAGGGAACCTGGCGGTTTCTGCAATGCCGGTGCTTCTTTCCCTCAATGGCAGCAAAGTGCCAGGACTTTGTTGGCAAGTGTCAGGCCTGTGCTGTTGCCAGTCCGCAGCGTGGCGAGAGTGTTCCAGCTACGAGGTCTGCCATGCCATCTGGTCCGTGGAACACCGTGTTCATCGACACCATGGAGCTCGGCGGCAGTCGTGATGGCAGGTTCCACTGCGTCCTGGTGTGTGTGGACGCATTTACCAAATGGACTGAAGTCGTTCCGTTGCCCCGGCACGATGCACGAAGTGTTGCTGATGCCTTTCTGTCCATCTGTGCCCGGTGGGGCCCACCAGAGATTGTGCGCTGCGACAACGGCACCGAGTTTGTCAACGCTATCATGTCGGCTTTGTTTGCGGCGTTTGGAGTTCGAGTGCAGCATGGTGCAGTTCGTCACCCGCAGAGTCAAGGCACGGTAGAGAGGTTCAATCGTACGCTCCTCACTTTGATTCGGAAGGTGTTGGAGGAAGAGGATGATTGGAAAGCGGCTCTTGATCTGCTGCTATTCAAGTACCGTGTACGCCCGCATAGTGTCACTCGAATCAGCCCGGCCGAGGCGATGTATGGCTGGAAGCCGAAGCGCCTGGTGGTGGAGAAGTCCGGCAGCGAGCTATCTGAGAGCGCTTGGGTGGACAAGCTGAAGATGCAGACGGCCCGGGTGTGGGATTATTTAGACGGCCAGTTATCGCAAGCTGACTCCATCGATGAATCGAGATCTCGTGTCGCTTGTCCCTATCAGCCCGGAGATCCAGTACTGTTGCGACGCCAGGACCGACGGCAGAAGCGCCAGCCTCCCTACGAGCGTGGTTGGGTGGTCGAGGCAGTGGTGGCATCCTCAACGGTCGTCGTTGCGCACGGTCGCGGTGGCACGAAGATCGTGAATGTTGATCTGTTGAAGATGGATCCAGGCGAGGCTGAGTCAGAGTCAACGGAAGTCGACCAGGTGGAGGCCAGTTCTAGCAGCAATGGCGAACTGCCCATTGCCTTTGACCTGCCGATTGCTGAAGATGATCAGCCAGTTGGACGAAGCCTCCGGAATCGAGATACATTGAGAGCCCCAAGGAGGTATGCTCCGTGAGTGTGGAGCTGATGGTGTGCAGTAGTTCATTTGTTCTGTGGTTCTATTATTCTAGGTTGTGTTCCTAAATGCTATAGGTTTTTCCTTTCACAGCGTTTCGAGTGTATTCCGGTCTTTGCTCGTAAAGAGACTTGTCACCTGGTGGAGGTGTGATGATGAATACAGTCTTAGTCTTACTCTTAGATCCATGCTGCTGAAGGTGACAATTACTCCTCTGGTTAGAACAATAACTTGGCGACATGTCACGTGCATACAGTGTTAGGTCTAGCCATGAATGATACCCAATAGCATAAATCGTCATTGTGTACTGTTGCCGACTGGCCCTTTGCATTTCCCGCTGTCATGCTTGCGGTCCGTTGTTTCATACATAGCTAGCTAGCTGGCTTTCCAAGCTGCGTCGCGTTATCATGGTTATGTTCTGCTGTACGTGCAGTCTGCGCTGCGTACCGTGCGGGTACGATTTAGTTCCGGTTTAGGTCAAGCAGTACTACTACTACTACGAGTAGTTCCGAGATCATGGCTTTTTTTTCAGTTCTCTTTTTTCCTTGTAGACAAATGTAAGCTAAATAAAACGTCTTGGTTGTGTGGCCGCTTGGGTTGGGTCACAGGGGCTTTGCCATCATTCCACTACAGCTGACTCAGCCAGATATCGAGGAGTCTTGGATTAGTCTTGTTTGAGTCTTGTATGAGTCTTGTATGAGTCTTGTATTAGTCTTATTCTCTTTTATAGCTTTCTTGACTTTCTTTATAGGAGTTCCGCTACCGCTCAAGCGGACTTGTCCGCTTGAGCCGGTGTGGCCTTTGACTTTGTAGTTTCTTACTGTTCCTTTGTTCCTTTACTATATCGGACCTGAGGGCTCCGCCACCCTGACTTCTCTCTGTGCTTTGGGTCTGAGGTACGCCTGAGTGGAACTACCAAGAGGCGCACACATACTTTGTGCAAACGGGCTTGGGATAACTAACACGTAGGGACGATCAGCCAGCCACGACAGACAGAACAATCTTGAGTGTACACTTACACGAGAAAAGGACGAATCCATAGGCGTGCATTCAATGCATACATGTAATGTTGAATACGCCGCTAGCATCAAGGCGGTGGGAACTACAACTGCATGCATACAGTGCAGCAGCCCTAGGCAACATCTCACTAAATGTAGAAGATATGGCGGGCAGATGATTACGGTTATAGAACAGATGTCATTTTATTGTGCATGCCATTACAAGAACCAGCATTTTTATGGAACGGATGGTACCAATACGGCGAAATGTCTACAGATTCAAGATAAATCACAACAGACTTAAGCAAGAACATGGTAAAACTGAGCAATGGACTGGCACATTCAAGACTGATTCATATTTCATTTCATGAATGCAATGCGCACAGACGAAGGTCGCGCGATGGACCAAACAAGTAACTCAACTCAAGATCAAGTCAACTTTCTCGCCGCACACGGCCGTTGTGACGTGTTTCCCTTACGCAAAGCGAAGTGTGAATGAGGCTTTACTCTACATATCCAAAACTGTAAACCAGTGAAGACCACAGCTTAGAAGACGGTATTATAATGTTGTGCATTGTACTTGCCAAATGTGTGTGATACTCTATGTAACATACATGTAGATAGGGCCAAGCAAGCACAGCAAGTTCTGAATTTTAGGTATTTGGAGCTCGTGAACAGATCAGATTTGTCTTGTAAGTGATAGGTATTGCTTACCTCTATATGTTGCCGCCTTCGTGCTGGCCGAAAACGCTGCATGCTCTGGCGATAATTCGGCTTGAAATTAGGTGCATAAAAATGCCAATTTCAGCTTCGTTCACAACATTTTCGATATACGTCTCCTTTTCGATATACGTCTCCTCTACGAAACTTCACTAAAAATATATCTGCCGAAAGAGCGTCCCGTCAAGAATACATGGTGTGAAATAAAACGAGGTGTTGCAAAGTAAAACGACGTAGGCCATGTAAAACGGCTTCCATCTCTCAGAACCAATTAATTAGCCTTAGGACAGTTCTCAAATTTGAAAAAAAAAAAAAAATCGCGGCAAAAATCAGTCAAGAATCTGTTATATCGGGATTAGTGGGAGAGGTCTTTTTTTTGCGCGTCTGGGGAAGGACTGGGTGATGTGCCTTCGTGGGAGGTATTTTATGTATCAGATTGCAACGACCAGGAGGCTTCACCCCATTTTTTGAAATCGCGTTTTTTCCAGGTTTATCATCGGCAATCGATGGTGGTGGGTATCACAAGGTCACACAGAAAATTTTATTGAAATCCACAGTGATACCACTCAGATATGAAGGGTTGAAGATAGGCAGTTGGATGAGGCGAGATCAATACAATCAAGAGTTCAGAGGGGGTTATGAACTCTTGATACAATTTGTGGCACCAACAGCATCTTCGAAGTATCATCAGTGGATATAGTCACAAAACATCAGAGTGTTTTTTTCAAGCACACATCACTCACTTACATACACCGACAACCCTGTATGGATCGAAACAATACAGATCAAAGTTCAGAATAGGCAAGAATACGGCAATTGTGACCGCAATCACTATAGCAACTCCATAGCAACCCATAGCAACGCCATAGTAACCCATAGTAACAGCTTCAGTTTGCTGTGAAATGAACTGACAACGACATACTGGCAGGCTCCAGCGGGTACAAAAGCGTAAGAGTTATAAAGACATTCTTCTGGCACAAAAACAACAGAGAACTTCCTCGTTGTACGCCGGACACCGCAACGTGGAGGGTATGTAAGAAGACCATAGGTCTGTGGGAAACACCCTAGTAAAATAAATAAAATAATAATAATAATAATAATAATGTACGCGCGCGCGAATTACTGCACAGGACTTTCGTGCTCACAGTCATGCCACTTCAAGTGATTCCAAGTAATTAGTTGGCAAGAAGTTCTTCAGGACCTCTGTTGGTAGCTTCTTTCCATGGTGTGATATCTGGGTATTGTACTACTCCCTGCTTGGATCCATACAAAAACTGGATCCAGTTTTTGAATTTTTGAAATTGTTGCTATGCTGTGACGTAGCACTTTCAAGCGCGAAGGACTAAAGCCGTCACTTAATTTTTGCCGACTACCCGCCAAAAAAATCTTTTCGTTTCACGTGTCAGACACGTCCGCGAGCGCGTACGATCGACTCGCGCGCGCCCGCGCTACCTTTCACGTCAGGCAATCTGTTCACGCCACATGGCTGGATAGCGCGTACATGCAAACATGATTGAAGACTTGCAAAATCAATTTTTTTCCAAGTCCAGGCGCTAGGCGCCTAGGCCTAGGCAGCACTAATCAGTCTAATGCCTAATGGCAATGCCCAGGCAGCTGACTTTATTTTCGGAGAAACACTACTCATTGTAGTAAAAAGTAACAATGAATAGCGATATCATCTAGGTCCTAGGAAGGATCGCTACCCTAACGCGAAGGAAAGGCCTTGCGCGGCTGCTCTACGAAGTGTTGAAGAAAGACTCATCAAAGTTTAATAGTTGGTGGACGAACAACTCGCTGGCGCCGGAAAACTTGGCCCCCAACGATGGTGTTTGGTGAATCATCAAGCATAATGTCTTGTAGCAGTGTTCACCGAGGAAGGAGAACGCTCTAGCCGCTGCTGTTGTCCGTTTCATCCACGTTGGGCGTTAGCTGCACCGCGCCTATTGTGTTTTAGTATTCCATGGACACACATTAGCATTCAGAGCGATTGTGGAGCCACAATTTACTTCACACAGCGTTGTATTGTCCACGAGCGCAAACTTCATTATCAGCAGTAACTGTTACTCTTCATCCTACATGTAGACTTGGAGTATACACGGCCTTGTCACGACAGCGACAGCTCTACAGAGTGTTCAAGTGAGAAACATTAATTTCAATTGTTGGTGGACGAATAAATGGCTGGTTCCGAAAAACGCGGCCTGCACCGACGGTGTTTGGTGGATCATCAAACAGGGTGACCAGCAGTGTTCACCGAGGAAGGAGAATGCACTCGCCACCACTCCGAGTCATCCAAGTGGGCGTTAGCTGCGCCGCGCCTATTGTGTTTTAGTATTCCATGGACGCACACTAGCGTTCTCAGCGATTGTGGAGCCACAACATATCTTCATGCGGCGTTGCACTGTCCAAGAGCAGAAACGTCAGCAGTGACCCATCATCATACATGTAGGTTTGGAGTATACACACCATGCGCCAATGGGCCTTGGCACAACAGCGGCAGCTCTACGAAGTGTTCAAGTGAGAAACATTTGTTTCGACTTTTGGTGGACGAACAAATCGTCGGTGCCGAAAAACGTGGCCTGCGCCGATGGTGTTTGAACCATTGAGGGCTCCGGAAGCAGCAGCTGAGCCAGATCAGCCAGTCTTGCCAACTCTCAGTTGCCGGACTCCGTGCTGCAGCTAGCAGCACTGGCACCAGCCGGAAATATTTTTCCGCCGATACCCGTTACTTCCAGTTCTGTCAAGGGCATGACTGGAATCCATTGCCAGGTGATGACTTTTTACTTTATGTGTTATTTTGCTGCCGAGTTGTTCAGAACTTTTCAGCCCCGATCTGTCCATGTCTACATGTCGGCCATCCGCAAACTTCATGTGGAAGTTGGCTTTACCTACCCGTCAGGCCCAATGACTCTCCTCGCAAGGTTCCTGTCGGGCATCAACAGGTCATCATCGACACAGCGTTATCGCCTGCTGATAACCACTCAACTTCTCAGGGAGATTAGCCGGCATGTTGCCTTTCCACGGATGTGGCACCCTCATGACAAGGCCATGCTAAGGGCAAACTGACTGCTTTATTTTAGCTTTACATTACCGCAGTCAGTCCAGCACAATACGCCAATTGTATTTCACTATTACTCGCGTGTCATAATTGGGGATATGGGCTGCTCCGCCCTATATCCCTGATATGCCAACTAGACGAAAAGTGTGTTCTGAGCCTGTATCGCGTATAATAGGCTCATCGTAAAACAAATAATAAGTCTTAAAAATCAGGGTTCACGTGACACTCGGGCTCCAGCCAAGTTTTCCGCATCCGCAGGAACGCTACCCCCCTCTTGAATCATAGCATAGTGGACTCTGCAATGAACAGATTATGAAACTCCCTGCAGATTTACTACGGTCATTTCTGGTGACTGGTCTTGGGGCACCGTGGAAGCTGTGACTGGTTGCCAAGTTTTGTTTTGTGACTGATCATGGGGCATTTGTGACTACTTCGAAGCACAGCTCTGATTGATCACAGTCTTACTGTTGTGAATATTTATATCGATTGAGAAGTCAAGCAGCCACGGGGCGCTGGCCTTGCAGCTGTGAGTATGCATACGGTACATATTCACATGACTATTGTATGCTGGACACTGCTGGTCCATTGTTGCAGTGTGTAAGTGAACTGCAGAACCTATTCCGTGATGAAACACCTACTCCTGAAAGACTGAATGTTTGAGCTAATAGTCTTTTACTTCACTCTCATGCTGCTCATATAATTATACCATACGCCAGAAGACCCTAAGTTACAAGTAGTTCTAAGATTTTGTGGACCATGTGACCATGTGGTACTTTCACTCTACAGCCAAGTCAACCTCTTCGTCAACACACAGGGTTTTCCTCAGACACAAGCGAATGGTTTACTCCACTCTGGAGAAGAACACAGTTTGCTCTCTCAAACACCAACCGCAGATAACTAAGGAATGTACTTCAGAAGTAGGAAGAGCAACAACTGCTAGAATATTGAACTGTCGTCCACACAAAACAAATAAAGACAACTGAAAACCAAACACACATGCAACTGCCAACATGCATGTAACAGCAACTGCAAGCCAGAACTACAGACTCCGCGCAGGGAGGAACAGGGGAAACAGAGCTAACGCTTCCGACTCCGAGAGCTTCGAATAGCAGCGGACAAAACAATCCATCAACCTTGCGTGTCACCTTGCGCTACCGCAAACGAACACCTATGGATGCACAGTGCAGCACAGACTCAGTGCATGCACGGTGTAATAACTGGAGTACATGTAAACCGACAACGGTCACCTTGCACCCTATGCAGTAAGTTACATAGGCGGTGCCAACAAAAGAGCAGGGTTCGTGTATCGTGCACACTCCAATGGCACAGCAGAAAATGTTCTCACCAACATCCACTGCTAGCTGTTTTGTCATCTTGCTGTGCCAAATGATGCTGTATAGACGCGCCAAGCAGAAATGGACTGCTTATGAGCGTGAACAGGCTGGATGGGGTGACTGATGGACTGTCGGAGTTGGCGAACCACAGAAATCGTGTCGCAACTCGGTATGCTGGGTTGGCACTGATTTGTAAAATGGCCTTCTCAGTATCGCAGGTCATGACGATTGGTGGCAGGCAAAATCGTAGAACAATGATGAATTGCCTAATGGCTAGGTCGTTGTTAGTAAGATTGCCTGAATCCTGGATGTCAACACAGTCTAGGTCCCACAGATCTGGGATGGTGCAGGAGTCGGAAGTTGCATCAGTTAGAGAAACGATAGCTGGCATGGCTGCTCATCGGCGTAGCTGAGTGCTTGGAGTGACGTGTTCGGCCAGTCACCACAAAACCGACTGTGGTAGGCAGAAACTGTAGTCCTGGCGGAAGTCCTCTGGTGCTCCACGTCAACTGAGACTCCCAGAGGAAATCTGCACCGATCAAGACGACTGACTATCTTACGGTCAATGGCGATACTGGTTGATGCTGCACTAGCTGCTGTTGCGCTAGATGCTGGTACCTCGTCAGCCACAGGCTGGTCAGCTACTATGTTGGTACTGCTGTCAGATTTCTGTTGAGATTCAGGGCAGATCGTGACATGATGGTGACTCTGATTGGTGACCCATGCGAGAACACACATTACACTTGCGGGTGGCCTTGCACTGAGTTGACCGGTGCCCTGTGCGCAAACACACAAAGCAACGCTTCTGTTCAATCAGTTATTCTTTCCGCTGTGCTACTGTTGTGTATTTCGCGCAGCTCTTGTCCAGGTGAGATCCGCCGCAGAATGCACACCCTCTCATACTGCTGGCATTCCAGTTAACATCAGACCACTTCCTTCTGGTGAACTTTTTGCATGCGCCTGTCACCAGTGCACCTGCAGAATAGTGAGTGACATCTTCTGCTGTAGTACCGCCTGTGTTTGTGCGGCGCAGAAAGGCGTCTTGCATGATAACATAACGCTTCAGTGCTGTTCTGAAGTCATTCAGTTTCCATTGTGTCCCTGCATCTGAAAAGCCTCGCGATTCGTCCAGTTGAATCAGCGTTCGGCATGATCTGTATCTTGGTCACAGCACCGTGTGACGATCTGGTGACATCAGACGGATATAATACACAAGAGACAATTGTGATATTTCTACGTTGTGTTTACTTCAGATACATAATCTAAAAAAAGGGGGGTTGTCAACCGACAACCGCTCTATTTAGTTGCTTTTCACTCTTTAGATGAAAATTCTTTTATTAATTATGTCGAAAAATTATGCGGTTGTCAGTTGACAACCACCCTTTAATTTACACTGCAGTTGCGTGATGTCCACCACTTTCTGTACATAATCTAAGAGTACTAACAGCCACTGACTTCCAACTACCAAGGGAAAGCAAGCCCAAGCGCAGGAGAACCGTGCGCGCGCGCGGGTACGTGACATGTAATATCGTAGTAGAGCTGGCAGGCAAGGCATGATCAGGGGTTCAGGCCCTGCCTGTAAACGCTCTGATTGGCTCAAACCCTGGCAACAATCACGTGACATGTCTGAAAGTACAAGTAGTTGCGATTTATGCTGAAGTTCTAACTAACGGAACACGTGCAGCGCTACACCATGAACCGTGTGGAAACAAAAATAAGTAGAGGAGACACGGGATAACAGACATGAACTCAGGGTCAAACTGATAACTGTGAAACGTGAATGCATGCAGTATATGGAGACAAAACAAAGTCACAGAATTCAGTACGTAACAAGTACTACACACTAACCTCGTACATGAGAATGTCACGACACCATTTGAATTAGCTCTTACACCCCACTTATGTTTCAGTCAGTAAGAGTACACATGCGTACTTACGTTGACTCTATTTTATCTGACTTGTCCAACACCATCGTTGTGAGCCTTCGGCACTTGGGAATACACAGGACGGATAAGATAGCAGCAAGAGCATCTCCCCGCTCTGTGAACACAGCTCAGACGCCATGCTTCATGATTGTGTGCCCATGGAATACAAGGACACACTAGACTTGGTGCAGCTAACGAAATGGATGAACGGTCGACGGCCTAAGTGTTCTCCTTCCAAGTTCCTCGATCAACACTGACAGTCACCACATACCATGCTTGATGTTTCAAGCACCATCGGCGCAGGCCACGTTTTTCGGCACCGACGATTTGTTCGTCCACCAAAAGTCGAAACAAATGTTTCTCACTTGAACACTCCATAGAGCTGCCGCTGTTGTGCCAAGGCCCATTGGCGCATGGTGTGTATACTCCAAATCTACATGTATGATGATGGGTCACTGCTGACGTTTCTGCTCTTGGACAGTGCAACGCCGCATGAAGATATGTTGTGGCTCCACAATCGCTGAGAACGCTAGTGTGCGTCCATGGAATACTAAAACACAATAGGCGCGGCGCAGCTAACGCCCACTTGGATGAATCGGAGTGGTGGCGAGTGCATTCTCCTTCCTCGGTGAACACTGCTGGTCACCCTGTTTGATGATCCACCAAACACCGTCGGTGCAGGCCGCGTTTTTTCGGAACCAGCCATTTATTCGTCCACCAACAATAGAAATTAATGTTTCTCACTTGAACACTCTGTAGAGCTGTCGCTGTCGTGACAAGGCCGTGTATACTCCAAGTCTACATGTAGGATGAAGAGTAACAGTTACTGCTGATAATGAAGTTTGCGCTCGTGGACAATACAACGCTGTGTGAAGTAAATTGTGGCTCCACAATCGCTCTGAATGCTAATGTGTGTCCATGGAATACTAAAACACAATAGGCGCGGTGCAGCTAACGCCCAACGTGGATGAAACGGACAACAGCAGCGACTAGAGCGTTCTCCTTCCTCGGTGAACACTGCTACAAGACATTATGCTTGATGATTCACCAAATACCATCGTTGGGGGCCAAGTTTTCCGGCGCCAGCGAGTTGTTCGTCCACCAACTATTAAACTTTGATGAGTCTTTCTTCAACACTTCGTAGAGCAGCCGCGCAAGGCCTTTCCTTCGCGTTAGGGTAGCGATCCTTCCTAGATGATATCGCTATTCATTGTTACTTTTTACTACAATGAGTAGTGTTTCTCCGAAAATAAAGTCAGCTGCCTGGGCATTAGGCATTAGACTGATTAGTGCTGCCTAGGCCTAGGCGCCTAGCGCCTGGACTTGGAAAAAAATTGATTTTGCAAGTCTTCAATCATGTTTGCATGTACGCGCTATCCAGCCATGTGGCGTGAACAGATTGCCTGACGTGAAAGGTAGCGCGGGCCACGGGTGTTTGCAGTGCATGAACTCTGGCCAGTCGTCCCCGTACGCAAAATGCGTACGCATTTGGATCTACCGTACATTTCCTCGTGTTTTGGGCGAATCTGACCGGTACGACGCTGTCGAATAGGGCCTGAATTTGCCCTGAACCAGCCGCTATCGAAGTAAAATTAGGTGTTTTGAAGACCACACGGGAACACTGCGGCCATGTCTTCTTTCCTGCGTCGTTTGTTTGAAAATCGGAGTGTTTTTGAGCTCGTAGTTTCGTCTCGTTGTGGAATGGCCGTGCGTACATTCTTCTTGGAATTACCAAAGTCACACCCCCGTTTATTACATTACTAGGAGTTTTGCCGGCAGCCACGATAGTTTTTATCCCTGCTTCCATACATCCTTTCATCGAACAGCCAAACGAAACTTTGTGGCGCGCCTTAGTTTTTTGTGGCGCGGGGGTCTCAAGTTTGTCACTTCGAGTTGTACACAACAGCCGCATCATCTCAAAGGACCAAAAAAACCAAGCGAGCAAAGTATTTCAACGTTGCGATTATGCCTGGCCTACTGTGAAGATGGAGGCTTCTACTCGGTAGCAGATACTCGTATCAATAAGCTGGGAGGGAGAGCGTGGCGAGTAAAATGTTGGGATGAAAAGAGCCACATTCTCTCTCGGAAAAGGTCGTCGTTCCCACACACGTTCACTTGCTCTACCCAGATCTGCAGAAGGCTAGATTTTGCATGCACGTGCGTCGGTGCGAGATTCGCATCCGCCGCGCACATAGGCAGAGTCGAAATTTTTGTACTCTCGGATTTGCCGCCATCTTGACGAGTGGCCGCTGCGAAACACCCGTGGGGCGCGCGCGAGTCGATCGTACGCGCTCGCGGACGTGTCTGACACGTGAAACGAAAAGATTTTTTTGGCGGGTAGTCGGCAAAAATTAAGTGACGGTCCCTTTTAGTCCTTCGCAGTGCCCCATTAATTGCATTGTACAAAACAAAAGTCATGTACACTGTATATACGTGTACAGTCATGTACATGTAGATTGATTTGAATTTGTAGAATGTTCATGGTACAATACTGACAGTATTTTTATTGTTGTTTGTTCACGGGAACCGGTCATCCCATAAGAATATTTTGCAACTGTCACTCTCCACTTTATTAGTTGGTTGAGCCTGCTTTTATTTCCAGGGATTTTCGTTTTGCTTTTTCGACGGGGACAGCGCAGTTCCTTCTTGCTCGTGTGTGTGTTCAACACAAGCACTTTCACTAATACCAGGCCGACCGACACTTGCAACCTTGTGGAATGGCTTAGAAAGTGTGGACGCAGTGATATTGAGCATGGAGGAGATCGGGGAGAACCTGTATTCATTTACTGACTCGCCTCTCACCGAGGATAAATTTTCTGATGACTACGATCAGTACTTGGGTACAAGCACTGCGCTCATCATTGACAATGGTAAGGAAACAGTAGGGGCGTAGCCAGGATAGTGATCAAGGGGGGGGGGGGGGGGGGGCACGACTTTCCCCACACAAAAGTAAATTGTACATGCACTTATGTTGTTCCTTTCATGCATACCGTATTATTTTGATCCGTGAAATGGGGCCGGAGTGGGGGGAAGCAAAATTCGCCCCACAGTTGACGCTGAAGATCAATCAGTGAATAGCAAATCTCCAACCGGGGAGTAGTAGTATGGTATTTTACTACTCCCTTCTTCCAACTAATGATGGCCTAAGTCTTGGATGCTGCTTTCTCCAGAATTATCACACTCTCCATCGAACTTAACGTCAGATTTCTCGGCCCATTTTTGCTCTTCGTCGTGTTTGATAGTGCAGTAAGGCATCCTTGATCAAACCTTCACTATTTCCCACAAAAACGCAAACTGCACTTCAGCATTACTTTCACTCTTCTGCTGCTGTACCCACACTTGCAATACATGAAAGAAACATCTTTGCCTTTTCACAACCGCCGACGCGACCAATCAACAGCCAGAACTACATTATACAAAACATAGCGCGAACAAACTGCTATGTCTGACGTCTGTTTTCCATAGACCGTGTTGCTACTTCTACCCATGGCGTGTTTGTATGATTCTTTGCTTCTAACAAAACATGTGGAGTGCGATACAAATCATGTGCTGAGCCTGCTGAGGCCTGACGTGACACTGCGCAGCGGCAGGTATGAAGCGGAGTTGCCCTTGACTAGAAATGTCATTGCAAAATGGCCAATCATGAGACAAAATAGTCAACTGCATGTGGATTGGTTTCAGATACATTGTACTTGTAGGTCTGAACCAGGGAGTAGTACAACACCTACTACTCCCTGGTCTGAACAGGGATGGCTACAGTGTGCGCGTTGTGCAAAGTAGGTTACACATGTGATCAGCGGTCCGCGTATTATGGTCTCTCTCGAACCAGCTCAGCTGCGAACCAAGATCAAAATTTTTAGGGGGATTCTTTGGCACCCAAAGCACCCCCCCCCCCCCCCCTGCCTACGCCCCTGAACAGGTAGCACAAGTCAGCATTCGAGCTGATGACCTAGGGAAGGATGGATCACTTTTAGTACCTCTGGGTAGATTCAACGTCACGTGTATCTTATCTTGCAAGTCTTGAGCTAGGCGCTTTCACCACTTCACGTCTCACCAAGACGGCATACTCTGAAGAGTATGCGGCTGCCTGCATGCTCTCCATTCAGGGCTGCGATGGCAGAATTTCACATCACGTGGCATTGTTTGGTAGGTTACGTCATCACCAGGGAGTCCGTAGCATTGTTCGGTGGGTTACGTCATCACCAAGGAGTCCGTAGCATTGTTTGGTAGGTTACGTCATCACCAGGGAGTCCGTAGCATTGTTCGGTGGGTTACGTCATCACCAGGGAATCCGTAGCATTGTTTGGTAGGTTACGTTAGGACCAGGGAGTCCGTAGCATTGTTTGGTAGGTTACGTCATCACCAGGGAGTCCGTAGCATTGTTTGGTAGGTTACGTCATCACCAGGGAATCCGTAGCATTGTTACGTCATCACCAGGGAGTTCGTAGCATTGTATGGTAGGTTACGTTAGGACCAGGGAGTCTGTAGCATTGTTTGGTAGGTTACGTCATCACCAGGGAATCCGTAGCATTGTATGGTAGGTTACGTTAGGACCAGGGAGTCTGTAGCATTGTTTGGTAGGTTACGTCATCACCAGGGAGTCTGTAGCATTGTTTGGTAGGTTACGTCATCACCAGGGAGTCTGTAGCATTGTTTGGTAGGTTACGTTAGGACCAGGGAAGGGAGTCCGTAGCATTGTTTGGTAGGTTATGTTAGGACCAGGGAGTCCGTAGCATTTAGTGAGATGACACGGGAGCTTGTAGCCGAAGCGGTGTGTGCTTCGACCCCGGGTTTTGAAGTTCCACGGGGTCCGGCGTTTGTGCAGCTCATGATTGCTGCATCGACCTGCTGACCCCTAGTGTGGCCCAATCAAATGGTATACATCGGCCCTGTTCCACAGTCCACTGTAACTGGCAGCGTGGGGTCGAAACCCGCGTCGTTTAGCGTTGCAGTCGCCTGTGCCGTCTCTCAAGATGCTACAACTGCCCGGTGAGAACACGGTGCAAGTCAACCATCGGCCAGAGAGTCACACCCGAATCAGGCTCAGCGTCCAGTCAACCATCGGCCAGAGAGTCGCACCCGAATCAGGCTCAGCGTCCAGTCAACCGTCGGCCAGAGAGTCGCACCCGAATCAGGCTCAGCATCCAGTCAACAATCGGCCAGAGAGTCGCACCCGAATCAGGCTCAGCGTCCAGTCAACCGTCGGCCAGAGAGTCGCACCCGAATCAGGCTCAGCGTACAGCTCTGTGGCGTATGTGTAGTACCATGTCCAGGTGCAAGCATTGTGTGCACTCTTGTCAGGCGATGTGTGAAGTTCTGCCGTCACAGACCCGATAGACTGCACGCTCTTTGGCGTTATGTACTGTAAAACGGGTAACGTTTGCGACAATAAATGTTTGCGTTTTACAAATTGAGACTCATTTGCGCTGTTTAACCCTTTGTGGACGGACTGTACGAGTTTCGATCTAATAAGATCGAAACTTCGTAACTTCGTAACTCCATCGTTTCTTGAGCAAATTCCACAATCGAAGGGTCTACGTGGTAGCGGGAAGTCCAAGCTGTCCAATGCAACAATCGCCGAAGAGTTACAATGTCGGACGCCAGAGATATCGCACGCCGTATGCTTACCTCGGCAAATTCAAATTTTTGATCGATCATTTCGCCATTTTGGGGGAAAATCCCTTTTCGTGTGCTCTTTGAGCGACTGAGCACATGATAATGACGTAGCAAGCTGAAGTTTGAATCGTCTCAAACAGATTTGAGCGTTCTGCGATGAAGGAGAGTGGAATGGCGTTGATGAGACGAATTTGCTTGCATATCAGGCTTGGAGACGACTTTGCTGTGTTACCGCGCCTGATTTGTGGTGGCCGGATAATGGAGATTGGTACCCTGACGTAGCTCTCGCCAAGAGCTTTCCAATGAGCCCTTGATTGTGAAAATCAAGTGAAGTACACCAAAGTTATGACATGGAAAAGTTGAAAATTTTACTGACATTTTGTAATTCTGGTGCATACTGTGCTAGTAATCCGTCCATAAAGGGTTAATGTTTGCGATTGAATACATTTTATTTTTATTTTTTTACTTAGGCCACAGCTTCCAATCATGACATGCAAAGCAGCGGTGCAGCATCGCAGGCATGAATCGTGGACGTGGTGACGGGGTCTGATGTGCTCTGCCGACATAGGGTCTCGGCTTCACTGCACAGCAAACGCGTCGAAAGAAAACGGGGGCTAATAATTATCGGGAGATGGGGGGGGGGGGGGAGAAGAAGAGAAGAAGGAGAGAGATCGAGAGAGAGAGGGAGAGAGAGAGAGAGAGAGAGAGAGAGAGAGAGAGAGAGAGAGAGAGAGAGAGAGAGAGAAGAGAGAGAGAGAGAGAGAGAGAGAGAGAGAGAGAGAGAGAGAGAGATTGAATACATACTTTTTTGAACTTTACGTGGCGCGAGTTTGCGTTGTTCCAAGTTTGCGATTCGGGGCCTCTCGCAAAATTCGCAAACATTTTTACATCGCAATAGTTACCCGTTTTACAGTATGTACTCTGGATGCGAAGAGACAACTTGTTTTATTCAAAGCCCCACATTTAAGTGAATAATAGCAAGAAGGTACAAGAGAGGAGCTAGAGAGGATCAGTCACGCAATACGGTTAATTCCCATCGCCGGTCGGATAATTATTCATCCCTACGCAAGAAGTAGGTCGTTATTAAGGAAAAATAATAATATTTTACCAAGCATGCCTGCAAACGACGCAGAACACACTATTATTGATGCAGCCAGCCTACAAATCATGCAAGCGGCATTGATCGAGAAATGATGAGCGTGCTCGGCGACGCAAATAGGAAGCCCTGCATCCACGAAAGCACGTTGCAAACCATTTTAATAGCAAGAAAGAGATACAGCACCTCAATCTTGCCATAACGCTTGAATAACGTAAATCAGAATGCTTGTTGATAATTAAGCCAACCAAATTCTTCAGGGCACGTGAACACTCCTGGCTGCACATACCATTGGTAGCAAAAACCAAGGGCGTGAATGCACCTCTCTCGACATGTATTACCCTCTGCAGGTATGAGTCATACCAATATATGTAACTATAGTAATAGCGATCGTAGTCAAGAAAGCATAGTGCGAAGAAAACATAGTGAAGATGGTGAATAGAAGGAAATGGAACGAGAACGCTTGTTGTGAGTGACAAATACATGTAGTCCCGTCGGCTGAGCTGATTGTCTGGGCACTTTGCCACACATGTACAAGTGACGTGTTGCACACTGGTGAGTGAGCAGATTGCAATAGAGGTGATTCCCGTAGCTATGCAAAAGACGTTAATTCAGTAACGTCTGGCGCTAGCCAGGGTCCACACAGCTTTAATTTCGTGTTTGTTTGTGCCATCCGCATGCCTGGCGCTATCCCGTACCGTACCATCAAAGACAGCTGGCCACAATATTCAAATAGGGCTTTCAAATGCAAGATCATAACGTGAAGCAACTTGGAAGAATGAGCGTGCGAAGTGTATCGGGGGAATGCATGCAGGGCGATAGTGCGGGTTCGAATCCCAGGTTGTCTTGAAAAAAATAGAAGAAATGAAAAAAATTATAACATCCCTATGCTTTTTTGCCTAGGTCATCAAGGTGGTAGGCTGTGTCGTATTACCCTCGAATGCAAAGAGAATGTTTGATATAGCCAATCAATGGAAAAAACCCATTTCCATCAGTTCTAATAACATGCATGATGAGCTAGCCAGGCAAAAAAGCATAGCGTAGGGCCCTGAGCTTCCAAGCTCTCTCGTTTGAATGAGGTCACAGGGATGAATTTATCCTGTTGCGATGCAAAATCGATCTACTGCTACTCGAAAGTCACCGTGACTCGCAGAAAATTGCGATACATACAGGCTATCCATGCCTAGCCTGTGCTGTCAAGTAACATGAATACTGTGCAGTGTATGTGGTGCAGGTACTCTCAATCTGGGTGCACATGTATGCTTCAGTCGTTTCTCTGCAAACGGGCTTTCAGGCATCACTCTCAAGAAGGACAATGTGGTAAACACCCAACCTTCAAAGAAAAATGCTAATCAAAATCAAAGACTTCTGCACAATTGTGATTTCGTATAACAGAAACTGCTATGCAAAAATATGAACGTAAATTCATCCCTGGGTCATCGCATATGCTTTGCATGGGGCGCGTGGAGTGGAAACCTGTGCTAGTTTTGTGTTGAGTGGCAAACAGTTCTACATTGTAGTGTGTAGATAAGTCTTGAATGCCCAGTTTGTATTTAGTTTGGATTGAGTGGGGCAACCAGACAAGCAGTGCTAGTTTTGAGTGGCAAACCAGCTCTAGCACGCCAATGCACCACTGCTTTGCCAGTCCGTGCAACGTACTTTGAATCATGACATAATCGCATAATCTCCACACGTGCAGAGGAATATCAGCACATTCAGCAGAGATAGCATACGCGTTGCCATGCAGTGAATCTGCCGTGAACAATCACCGTGATCACTCCTGCATGAGACCAGTCACCCCATCCAAACCTGTGTGTGTGTGTGTGTGTGTGTGTGCGTGCGCGCATGTGCATGCATGTTCATGTGCTTGTTTGTACTGTTACTTCAATTGTTCAGGTGCATATCAATGTCGGGCTGGCTGGTCTCGCGATGACTCGCCGCGTCTCGTCTTTCGAAACCTTGTAGCCAAAGGGCGCAACAGGAAGGTAAGCAATACCAGTACAATGTATGATTAGCGGCCAGAATCTGCCGGTAGCAATGCGCATTGTCAAATAAGGCGAATATGGACTGCATGATTAATGCATGTGGGTATGCTGAGATCCAGACTGTGCTGTTCAATGCCCTACACACGACTATACCCGGGGTGGCCGCGTGGGGCTGGTGCTGGTGGTGCGAACTATCGTAAGGTCTTGTGTAAATGCCGCAGCCAGTGGCAGTGGCACGATAACTCGTACGTCATGAGTTTACATGTACGAGCGGATTATGCATACAACAGGTCGGCGACAGACAGTGGGATGTAGTGAAGCCTGTGGGATGTTACTATCATGTAGTGAAGCCTGAGGGATCTAGTGGTGCAGACAGTGGATGTAGTGAAGCCTGGGGGATCTAGTGGTGCAGACAGTGGATGCAGTGAAGCCTGAGGGATCTAGTGGTGCAGACAGTGGATGTAGTGAAGCCTGTGGGATCTAGTGGTGCAGACAGTGGATGTAGTGAAGCCTGAGGGATCTAGTGGTGCAGACAGTGGATGCAGTGAAGCCTGTGGGATCTAGTGGTGCAGACAGTGGATGCAGTGAAGCCTGTGGGATCTAGTGGTGCAGACAGTGGATGTAGTGAAGTCTGTGGGATCTAGTAGTGCATATAGTGCATGTTGAAGCTGCAGCAGCTACTATACAAGGGCGACTTGTGCGATATGGTGTTTCAAAAAGTGCGTCTTCTATAGACCCATTGCGCAATGACGTAATTTGTACCAAAACACCCTTCACAGCCACCTGGGGGGGGGGGGGGGGGGGGGTCGTCTGGGGTGTTGAACAGTGCACTCCTGATCCCAGCATACTCACAAGCATTACTCATGCATTCCATATTTGGCTGTGAAGGGTGTTTTTACGTCATTGCGCAATGGGTCCATTCAGCGCTATTCAAGTGTGGATTTTATAGAAGACTTAGCAGTATTTCATTGCACATTGTGCTGGTTCTAAACTTAGATCTTGTCTCTTGTTCTTGAGCTTATTTGCAATGATGACTGTCTTTGACGGCAGGGGGTTACAGTTGTGTTGCGAATCGCAATGCACAGGGAAATCTGCCTTGTCAGACCTTTCGGCCAGTATGAAACGGTCTGCGTTGGCCTCCTGTGAGACTTTGTTAGGATTGGACATGGGCATGATCAAGTGATGGCCGGACTGTGTGCGTGGATGCACGTCTTGGGGTCATGATTTCACTTCGCTGTTGGGGGCTGCGCGGTGGATACGGGCAAAGGGCTGGAAAGTGCTACGTCACTGTCAGCCTGGTGTCATGACAACGCCGACTTTTGGCTCTACTCGGATCCCGTCTTTTTATGGATCCATACACGTTCGGGTGGTTCTCCTTCACAGCATAGTGCCACTTCCACCGGTAGTGACTGCCATGGGCCCACCCAGTCAGGGACCCAATCCTGGTACAGTACAATTACACCTACCTGCAATACCCCTGGTATGAGGGATTCACCCATCGCATCCTTTACTTCACCATGGACAGAGTGGATCCAAAAGTCAATATTTGTCGTTAGATTTTGACTTCTGACGGCATTGCTTTCAACCCCTTTTCTCGTGCTTTTCTTAGCCACCATGTATTTACTTTTGGGTATTGCTAGGAGGCAGCTGCCACACTGTTTTTCTGAATGAGTGTTTTCTTGCCGTGCTTTCAATTGGTTTGGCATGCGACCCTTACTAGATAACTGTACTTACAAGCTTGTGCTGCCAACATGATGATGATGATGCATACGTACTACTGTCGTGGTGTTAAGTTTTTAACCCATTCCCCCAGTCCTGTTGCTGCTGCTGCTGCTGCTGCTGTGTGTGTGTGTGTGTGTGTGTGTGTGTGTGTGTGTGTGTGTGTGTGTATGGTGTGTGTATGGTGTGTGTGTGTGTGTGCGTGTGTGTCAAAAAAAAATTTTCGCGGAGAGGAAGCAGATTTGTTAGCTCCTGGTTTTCTCTTTGTTGGCCTCCTCCACGGGGCGGCCTTGGCCTTCTGGTCAGGGTCGTCCCTGGGTATTGACAGGCAGTAGGCTTTTCATGCCTTGCAGCCGGTTTCGCTCGCGCGGAAGGACATTCAGTGAGCTGACGACCAGGGCGGGTAATTTGTTGCCGTCACCGTCTTCTTGCGTCCTTTCCGCATCCTCCGCAGTGGCGTGGCGAGCCCTCGGATCAATCCCCAGCCTGAAACAATGCAGTGGCGTTCGGCAAAACAAGTGGATTCCTGGATGAAAAAGGATACAGGTCACACTCGCAACAATTTATTACTGCGCGGTGATAGCTGGAATTGTGAATTTGTTCGTGTTGTTTGGACCTGAGTGGCCAGTCGTCGTGCGGCGATGGTGTAGTGATGTTATCTTGCTGCGCATACTCCTCGTCGTTTCGTGAAAGTACGTCTTGTGGAGCCCTTGTGGAACGTTCGGTGCCCACCCTCCAGCTCAAGATTGTGCTTTCCTGGTGCATGAAGGCCGAAGCAGTACGCGTACAGACGTTGTGGAACAGAACATCATGTTCACATTAATTTTGTGCCTTTCTTCAGTCGTTGCATGTTATAGTGGACCTACGTTACAGCAGACTGTTCATCTGGTTTGTGATATTTCCTTCCTCTGTTTGTGAGTCCCTTTCCATCAATATGGCAGCTTGTTTTGATTTCCTTTTTTTTCAATTCATTTTGCTGTACTTTCTGTTTTGTTTGCGCCACTGCCCCTCACCTTGCGCTCAGTTCTCTGAGTGGAGGGCGGCGTGACCCCAAGGGGTAGCTGATTGATAGTAGTAGTAGTAGTAGTAGTAGTGTGCGTGTGTGTGTGTGTGTGTGTGTGTGTCATGCTGGCTGGTTGGTAAAATTCAGGAGATGGAGGCAATGGTGGTTGGCAACGACATAGGGAATCTGGAATCAATGCGCTGGGCACTGCGCTCTCCTTTTGATCGTAACTTGGTAACTCACTACGACACACAGGTGAGCGAATGCAGTGTGTAATTGATTTCTTTTGTGCATGCGATCACTGCTGACTAGTCTCTTGTAGCTGAGTGTGATGCTGATTGGATGCCAGAAGATGCTGTGACTATATTGAGTACTGTAAAAGCAGAAATTTTCCGTGGTGTTTTATTTTCGGTAACTTCGGTGCGGAGTATTTCCCCGAAAATAAACGAGAGAGCTTGGAAGCTCAGGGCCCTACGCTATGGTTTTTTGCCTAGCTAGCTCATCATGCATGTTATTAGAACTGATGGAAATGTTTTTTTTTCCATTGATTGGCTACATCAAACTTTCTCTTTGCATTCGAGGGTAATACGACACCGTCTACCACCTTGATGACCTAGGCAAAAAAAAAGCATAGGGATGTTATAAATTTTTCATTTCTCCTATTTTTTTAAGACATAACCTGGGATTCGAACCCGCCTATCGCCCTGCATGCATTCCCCCGATACACTTCGCATACATATTCATTCTTCCAAGTTGCTTCAAGTTATGATCTTGCATTTGAAAGCCCTATTTGAATATTGTGGCCAGCTGTGTGTGGCCAGTTGTCTTTGATGGTACAGCACGGTACGGGACAGGTACGGTCGAGGGTAATACGACACCGTCTACCACCTTGATGACCTAGGCAAAAAAAGCATAGGGATGTTATAAATTTTTCATTTCTCCTATTTTTTCAAGACATAACCTGGGATTCGAACCCGCACTATCGCCCTGCATGCATTCCCCCGATGCACTTCGCAATGAAGTTCGCATACATACTCATTCTTCCAAGTTGCTTCACGTTATGATCTTGCATTTGAAAGCCCTATTTGAATATTGTGGCCAGCTGTTTGTGGCCAGCTGTCTTTGATGGTACGGTACAGTACGGTACGGGATAGCGCCAGGCATGCCGATGGCACAAATAAACAAACACGGAATTAAAGCTGTGTGGACCCTGGCTAGCGCCGGACGTTACTGAAGTAACGTCTTTTGCATAGCTACGGGAATACAACTAGTACTAGTACACTTACCTGGGAAACGGGTTTACCGAAAGTTTCCCTCCACCGAACCTCCGATTTTGGAGAGTACCGAAAATATTACACCACCTAAAAATTCTGCTGATACAGTACATGGACAATGCAGCCACAACTTGTACGTGTACAATCACACTGCATCTTATTCCTCTGCACTTCTATCTGCATGCCTACAGGTACTGGTCCATGGTTTGTTGGGATGACCCGAAGGCTTCGTACTGCATGTACGGCCGAGTCTTGCTAGCGTGACATTGAAATGGGAACATTGGTTTGTTCTGCCAACTCTTCTGGCTATTATTAACTGTTGGTCTGACCAGCAAAGTAGATTGGAGACTGTTCAGAGAGGCAACGTACCTGTGCTGTAAGCTTTTTTCGCTGATCTTGTTCCTATATTCACAGGAGCTGGTCTTTGATCACATCTGTTCTCGACTGGGAATCAGCTCGGACGGCGCGGTTGGCCACCCTGTTGTCCTTACTGAGCCAGTCTGCAACCCACCGTACTGCAGATCATGTAAGGTTTATTTACTTTTACTTGTACCCATTCCATGAAGGCTGTTAATTCAAGAGACCAGGTTTTCTGTTTCTCATGGCTGCCTGCTCTCACTCACTCACCTGCACACACGCACACATGCGCATACACACACACTCTGCCCTCCCTCCCTTGCTCTCTCTCTCTCTCTCTCTCTCTCTCTCTCTCTCTCTCTCTCTCTCTCTCTCTCTCTCTCTCTCTCTCTCTCTCTCTCTCTCTCTCTCTCTCTCTCTCTCTCTCTCTCTCTCTCTCTCTCTCTCTCTCTCTCTCTCTCTGTCTGTCTGTCTGTCTGTCTGTCTGTCTGTCTGTCTGTCTGTCTATCTACTAGTATCTATCTATCTATCTATCTATCTATCTATCTATCTACTCAAATCTATCTATCTATCTATCTTGCTCACACAAACATGCACACGCACACACACGCGCGCGCGCACACACACGCACACACACACACACACACACCTCAGACCTCAGACCTGCCCATCACGGAAGCGATGATAGCGAACAGCTATGTTAGACATAGCAGCTTGTGCTGGGATTACACCATTCAACAGCTTGCAAGGCTGATGAATTGACCGCCACTAATTTTAGCCTAGTCTACACCACACGGCTGATTGAAGCAGCTTTTTCGGGCGAATGAATCCCTATGTTGGTTGTTCATTGTTCTGTTACTTTGAACGCTCGCCATGTGATACTAGTGAACAGAGTACGTGTATTTCCATGCCCTCTTCCCTGCCTTTCTTGCAGTGATGTCAGAGTTGCTGTTCGAATGCTATTCCGTCCCCTCTGTGTTATACGGTGTGGACAGCCTGTTCAGTCTCTACCATAATCTGCCTGATGCCGGTAGGTGTGTATTACTGTGTATCATCCGCGCATGCGAATCTCGGCGTGTTATCTGTATTGGCTTCTGGCTAATCGGACTCTGCATGCCTGGCAGCATCAACACACAGTACATGTAGTAATAATATTACTACATTATACTGCCTTGCATCGATATTGACCGAGTTACCTGTTACCCTGGCATGCCATGAGCCATGCTAGTACAGCTCACGCACTTGAACCGCTATGGGTGCGTGGCATCAATCAAGAGTACATGAAACTCTGAGTGTGCAGCTTCTGCCTTTTTCTGCACGGGTGTCTGTCACGGCGAAATTCCTGGATTACTGTAAAAGCAGAAATTTTCGGTGGTGTAATATTTTCGGTATTCTCCAAAATCGGCGGTTCGGCGGAGGGAAATTTTCGGTAAACCCGCGTTCCAGGTAAGTGTACAAGTACTATACCGACATTTTCGGTGCGTTTTATTTTCGGTAAAAATTTCGGCACCGAAGTTACCGAAAATAAAACACCACCGAAAATTTCTGCTTTTACAGTACATCATATTTGGTGCAGCTCGGAGGCGGGAAGTGGCGTAGTGCGTACAACTAAGCTACAGTTGTCCAGAAAGAGACCTGCTTGAATCCTGCTTGTGCGCACTACATCACTAAAATGAGAATAATCATGTTTGGCCATGACAGCAACCCATCAGAGCTGCACACTCTGGGTTCCATGTACTCTAGGTGGTATCGACTACAGTCCACTTCGCTAATAACGCCTGCGGATGTAACGACAATTCGCGAATAACGACAGAAGTTCCCAGCCCAGAGCAAAGTCCCACCTAACTGTAATGCGTATCATGAGACCTCGGGCATAAGGACACTTCGCGAATAACGACACTTTTCTGATGCCCCGCCGAGTGTCGTTATACACGAAGTTGACTGTACTGAGTAGTGAATACCGCCGAAGATATCACCTTTCTTGCACAGATCGCAGGTGGTTGTAGCAACAAACAATAATTCTGGTCTCCTAGGATGCTCGGCCAAGAGTCAGACCAAACTGTCACCCATGGAACTGATCAGCTATGGGCGTACGTTTCCCCACAGGACAGCATGATAACCTGGCGCTGTGTCAGCCAGGTATCGCCGTGAGACCACCACGAAAGCGAACATGTTTGGCTTTCTGTAGAACGCTCTTCTCCGGGTGTCCTGGTCTGAAAGGTCCTGTTTCATACCTGTGGAGTTTCTGTGATATAATCATAGTTCTGGTTATGGCCGACTGGGTGACTGGCTGATGAACCCGCAAGGTGCCTGTACCTTTCAAGTCCACATTGGACCTAGTTGGGAGAAGGAGTAAGGCTGCTTGAAGAACTTGTTTCTCCGAATGCATCCCCTGTCTCCGCTGTGAACTCTGGGAGATTAATCTGGGTAGTGGCAGTGTAGTGCTGATCAGGGGTGCTCACACCCCTGATCAGCACTGCTTGAAAAGGTATCATGACGATTCCACTATCTGGGCACATATTGATTTGGTCTTGCTTGTCGTTTGCTTCACGCTTTGCAGCTCGAAGCGATGCCCTAGTCGTAGCCTGTGGCCACCAGGCTACCCACATACTGCCAGTCGTCGATGGCCACTTGGATGCATGCCATTGTAAACGGTTAGTGCTGTGCACTCGTGCATCGCTCTCGTGATTACAGCGATGAGTACTAATACGGTGTTGTGCGTGCAGGTGCATTTAGTCGATGAATAAGTCTGTCCTTCTCCAAGGAAAAACAGTTGCAATGTGCTGTTAGGCTAGACAAATCAATGTTCGTCCTACATGTCATTTAGTTCGAAGACTCTTTGGGCGAAAATGACAGAATTTAGTTCCCAGCAAATAATATCGTCTTGTACGGTAACATTTAAAAGTCCAGTTGTCAAGAATTTATAGTGCTGAATGAAGTATGTCACATTATGTGTGAGCATTGAGGGGGATAATTGCATTTGGGTGAACCAATCAGCATCTGCCCGACTAGTAATGTCGATGTATGCACGGTTGGCTATTCCTGGTTGCGTGTAGTAATTTCGAGCAGTGACAGTGGGCATCGTTGTTGTAGCTCTTCTTCCTTGCACTGTTTCTATCACCTCTCTACCGTACGTAAGCTATTGCCCTTGTGTCATTTGATTTTGCCTGTGTTTCACCTGGCGATAAGGCTTGAAAGTATGCTACTAGTGAAAACTTTGAAGATGTTGTTGAAGAGCCTGAAGTGTGACCTTCTTCTTAGTATTATGACAGTGGGCTTGTTTGTGTTTTCTTGGTGTGTGCTGTGTGCTGTGTGTGCTGTATGCTGTACCCGTGGTGCAGTATCAATGTTGGAGGTGCTCACTGCGTGGGGTACATGCAGCGCTTGCTGCAGCTTGGATATCCGGTGCACTTGCAGTCACTCACTCTATCCCGTGCACAGGTGTGTTGCGCATAGGTCAATTTGCCTCACGCTGATTCTAGTGCAATCTACCGTTGCCTTTTGAGATCTATCTTGTGCTGCTTGCCATTGCACGGTGTCATCTTTGTGCTGCCGCTGTAACGTTTAACGGTTAGTTGCTACCGCTGCTGCTGCCGCCGCTGCTGCCGCCGCTGCTGCTGCCACTGTTGTTGCTGCTGCTGCTGCTACCACTGCTACCCAATGCGTTGTCTGCGTAGTATGTTGTGTGGAATGACTAGGTAGCTTGGGGACTCCTTCCCACTAGTAGTTGTGTCTGATCCTGTACAACTTGGCAGCGTTGAGCCATTGCTGTTTCTTCTGTCGTGTCCCTGGTTACAGGAGCTAGTTCACAGACACTGCCGCTTTGCAATCAACTACTCCGACGAGTTATCTCTGTGGAAGGAAACCTGTACAAACCGTCCCTCTTACCTCTACATACAAATGCCGTTCACACCCGTAAGATGTGTATGCTTGCATGTTCTGTGGCATTATCATTTGGAGTGAGTGAGTGATTGAGTGAGTGAGTGAATGAGTGGGTGAGTGAGTGAGTGAATGAGTGGGTGAGTGAGTGAGTGAATGAGTGGGTGAGTGAGTGAGTGAATGAGTGAGTGGGTGAGTGAGTGAGTGGGTAGGTGGATGGTTGGGTGAGTGAGTGAGTGAGCGAGCCAGTGGGTGGATGGGTGGGTGAGTGAGTGAGTGAGTGATGGAGTTTAGTCACATCGCTCCTTATCTGTATTCGATGTCTGACAGTTTGTTTAGCCACTGGCCAGTAGTGTGTTGTTTCTCTGTGTACTCGCGCTGAGGAGATGGTGAAAGCAATTGGAAGTAATTCCCACATGCACATATCAGGAAAGTAGTATAGCTAGACATGCGTCGCAATAATTCTCACACCCGGGTGAGCGCTGGTCCCATGCGTGATTCTTATACGTAGTTGCGTAGCTAACCAGGATGGTTTAATTAAGGAGAAGCAGGAACTCTGCAAGCAAGAACTGCAGCACTGGTGAGAGAGAAGGGCTACTAGTCATAGACCACCCTGCAGCTGCAATCATGCTTGCCTGTTAGTAGTTATTACACCTGGGACCGACTCTCACTTATGCGTGACTGTTACTGCTGCACATGTGTGGCATTCACACCTCACGCTGTTATCGTCTGATGTACGCATGCGTGCGCAGCTTGTGCCGATTTACTACCAGTCGCCTTCACCTTCTCACGTCTCTTTCCCTTTATGTTCCGATCACCCGGCTTGGCCTGCCAGTTGTATGATGAGCGTGCTGTGGGAAACTCAAAGCTGCAGTAGACCTTCCTCTCTCCTTGCTGTGTGCATAAGCCAAGACTGCCAGTTGTGTGATGAGCGTGCTGTGGGAAACTCAAAGCTGCAGTAGACCTTCCTCTCTCCTTGCTGTGTGCATAAGCCAACACATACACGTAGAGCAGCGCACTCTTTGGATAGCAGGGCACGCTTCTGCTTCATACTTCTAATCTTGAGGGCAAGTTATACTTCTATAGTTGAGAGCGAGTACATGTACAGATTGTACAGGTCCCCAGTGCACTTCTGTGTCTCTGGCTGGCCGGGTCTAGCGCTGCGAGCAGCTTGCTGGTTGGGTGTGGCGACCGAGAGGCGTTCTTACGAGGGGAACAGGAAAAAGTGTCATGCTTACGTTCTGCGCAGTATTCTGCTTTGGCCTTGGTCATTTTCAGGGGCGGACAGTATGTGTGTAAGATGCTTGGCTTTCCTGTTGTCCTACCATTGCAGCCACCCATGGAAAAGCCAACCGATCCGGGGCATGAAGAAAGAGAGAAGCAGCGGAAACTAAAGCAAGGACAGCGTCTGCAAGAAATCAATGCTAAACGGCGGCAAGAAAAGGTGAGTTCTGATGTTGTGAGTTCTGATGTTGCACCCCCCCCCCCCCCCCCATAAAATTTCGACCTAGGTTCAGCATGCACATAATTGCTATGAATGACATGCACCAGCCATCCTACACATACATGTATGCGGCCGTGCACCCCCCCCCCCCCCCCCAAAGGGGACAGCTACGCCCGTGCAGTCACATGTGTAGTGGAACACACGTGCAGGTCCCGCTACTGCAGGCCAATAGTGCAGTGCCCCTCCTCTCCCCCCCCCCCCCCCCCCCTCTTACTGTCGTGGACATGGAAATCCGGTCGCATGTCTAGCGGCCCCAGGGCGCTGGCCAAGCAGCCGTGGGTAAGCAGTACACACATTCTGCATTATGCGCTGCAGCGCGCTGGTCGCATGGGATCAACATAACTGTGGACTGCATGCACCGCTCTGTACGCGCTTAAGCCGCTTGCCCCTGTCATCGACTGGATTTCCATGTCCACGACAGTAGTTGAGTACGCTACTGAGTACAACTCAACTGTACGAGTACATGTACAGTCCATTTCAAAACTATAGACGTGTACCTAGGCAAAACGGTTATGCCAGCATCTATACCACACAGCGTCTGTGATCACTTTGTGCATACATTTTTCCAAATTGGGCGCCTGTTATCCAATCGTTTAGAAACTATATGAGAGTAATTGTGGAGCGGACCTGAGCAATATTCCGAAAACTATTCTCAAAAAGCTCCAGCCAAATTTGAAATATTTCAAAAACCCTACGCGTCTATAGTTTTGAAATGGACTGTAGTTGAGTACGCTACTGAGTACAACTGTACGAGTACATGTAGTCCCAGTGTGCTGCAGTACAGGCGGCAGCATCTCAGGACAGCTGCTTGTGGACAGTAGCCAGATGCACTGACTTCTAGTGTGTTGCTTTGCTGGCGTTTTGCTGTTTCGTGCTGTGAGTGTGGCATCATCGTCACTGTTCATGTGTTGTGTCCTATAATGTATGATACACCAGCTGCATTTCATTGGGATATTAGCATCTGTGTCCCCAGCAATCTGTTCTTGTTGTCATGCTGATCCAAGTTTATTTTATTTGGTTTGGTTTGGTTGCAGCTAGATGCACTTCGTGAGGAAGTCGACCATTTCATCAGCATTCTTGACATGCAAGAAAAGGATCCCGATGCGTTTCAGGTCAGTTCATCAGCTAGCCTAGTAGAGCAGCTGCTGCCACCATTGCTACTGCTGCTTCTGAGGCTGCTACTGCTGCTGCTGCTGAGGTTGCTGCTGCTGCTGCTGCTGCTGAGGTTGCTGCTGCTACTGAGGTTGCTGCTGCTACTGAGGTTGCTGCTGCTACTGAGGTTGCTGCTGCTGCTGCTGAGGTTGCTGTGTGTATAAAGTACTTGAAATAGGCGTGATTTTCTTTTTTCAAGCATAGCACGCCCTCCCTATCTTCCTTTTACTCACCCACTCGCCTTTTTTTCTCTCTTCTCTCTCTCTTTCTCCCTGTTGTAGGATACGATAGAGAGCTTGGCATTTCAGTCAGCAGATGTAAGTGTGTTGCTGTTTGCTTATTGCTAATACCAAGAGTAAGGCGAGACCAAAAATAATTTATTAGAGATTCCCAGGCCCTCCCGCACCAAAATCGAGCCAAAGCCAATTTTTTGTTTTGAACAGTTCATGTACATGTACAGTACAGATCGTGTGAGTAGATTTGTGACATGGAGTCACACAAACCCAGGCTTGTACAACTCACTGATGTACAGGTCAGGGCCATCGTCGGCTGAAATACAGAAAAATTGAACGGGTAAACCACGTACCTGTTGTCTATTAAAAAAAATTGAATACAAATTACCGGAAAATACTAACTTAGAAGTTGCGACTTCGGCGGTAATAGTCATGAAGTTGATTGTTCCAACTAGGAACACACGCTTCTTGCCGAACTTGATTGGAACAATCAACTTCGGAAAATACTGTAAAAACAAAGTTCAGCATGGCATGCATACATACATAAATACATAGAAAAATAAATAAAAAATAAAAATTCGCCCGCCCGCACCAATTTCACATGGGTCCTGCCCGGTAATCTAGATTTTATTTTGGTCTCGCCTAAATACTAAATAAGCTCTCAGGAGTGTGCAACTCTGCATGTGGGTCTCCGACGGTGAAAACTCACATCGTGTGTTCCAAGGACGATTTGTGGTACGCGCAGTCCGAATATCTTGCCACGATCATGCTGATGACTCGCATCAGCTGAGTGGGCTTATGTCGGGGAGTGCTATTTTTACTACTCCACCGGTCGCTGAAAGCGGGCTGGGGACGTCACATACAACGGGAACACTACACCACGTGATGTGAATTTTCGCCATTGGCGAGCCAAAGGGTATCAAGAGTTGCACACTCTGGTTGGGAGCTTATGTACTCTTGCTTATTCGTACAAGTACAGTCAACTTGGCTTATAACGACACTCGGCGGCGGGGCATCAAAAAGGTGTCCTTATTCGCGAAGTGTCGTTAGGCCAAGTAAAAAAAAAAGCTAGATGATCGTCCCCGTCCGCCCCAGTTTTTGTCAGCGCCCCAAGAAATATTTTATTTTTTAAATCGTGAGTTTTTGCCGAAATCGTTGGTTTTTTACCGATCGCGGATGCAGGAAACATGTGCACGCTTTGTTTAATACTTTCTTTACTATATGGACCACATACTACTAGTATATCACAACGTCAGTATCGATCTGCTGAAGAAAGAAAAAGAAAAAAAGAAAAAAAAAGAAAAAAAGAGAAAAAAAACCTTGATGTTGTTGTGTACACTGTGTGCATGAGAGGGTAAAAAGTAAAAAAATAAAAATAAAATCCTCCCGCCCTCCCCGATTTTTCCAAAAAAAAGGACGATCATCTAGTAATTTTTTTTACTCGGCCTTATACCCGAAGTCTCATTATATGTATTCCAGTGGGATGGGACTTTGCTCTGGGCATGGAAATTCTGTCGTTATTCGCGAATTGTCGTTATATCCGCAGTCGTTATTAGCGAAGTTGACTGTAGTTGGGTGTGGTGATGTTGTGCTGCTGTTGTGCTGTGAGACTGAGATCGATGATCTCGCAAAGATCCAATGGCTGACCAGGTGAGGGCAAACCCTAGCCAATACCTAATTCAGGCCGTGGTGAGTGTGTATGTTGGTCTTCTCTCCTTGCTCTGCCTGGGGGACTCCCCTTTCCTGCCAAAGAGGAGTTCGAACCAGGGACTATATGTACCTGGTTTGAACTGACTTGAAGTTGAAGCCTACTTGTACAGGTCTGACAGTGTTTTGCTCTTGACATCATTTGCTGAAATATCCTGGTGTGAGGTAGTGTGTGCCGCCATGGCTTAGGGGTTAAAGCGCCTGTCTAGTAAACAGGAGATCCCCGGTTCGAATCCGGGTGGTGGCTGATTTGCTGATGATGATCTTGGAGTCAAGTTGATGGTGTTGTGACTGTCATTACACGGTTGTCTGTGTAAGCTGGCTCTCGGAGGCTCATGTTTTTTTGTTCTCTGTGTAAGCTGGCCCTCGAAGGCTCACTTTTTCTCCCATTTTCTCCTGCCATGGACGTCATGCGGACTTGTCCCCACTGTCTCTTATACCTTCGATATACCGTTTTGTTAAATCTCTTTTTTTTCTCTTTCCTGATATTTTCTCTGGTCACGGTGACTCGCCTCTTCTGCAGTGCACTGTGAAGTGGGGCCCTTTTGCGGGGTGCAAACTTGCACAGCAAGAATGCAGTGGTTTGAAGATACTAGTACGTTTGACTGTTTTATCTCATCGATTGCATCGATCGCATCACGTACTTACTGTCTGCGATCTACATAATATATGCACAGAACGGTTGTGATGATTCGGCATCATGGATTTTTTGGTGCGGGTCGCGAATGTAGTAAAATGTTGCCTGGTGCGGAAGTTTCCCACTTAACAGTATGCACTTCCACACTGATTGTTTACTGTTCCACCGAGGCGGCCTGTGCTGCACATTTCTGCTTGCTGTACGGAAGATGAAGAATGCGCGCGCAATTTCCCTTATCACCATACCGATACGGCGATATGCTGGAGAATCTGCGGTGTGACGGGTTAGCCAATGACTTTTGATGACCTAAACAACTGCATGTGCACACTTCACAGCTTTGTTGAAGTGACAAGTTCTTGGTCAATTCCTCTGAGCTGAAGCAATTGTAGGTCGGGCCTCGGACTATCATCGGTGATCAGATTCTTGTCCGAAGCTTGCCTCTGGAGATGCGAGGATGCTTGGTTTTGACATCATTTGCTGAAATGTCGTGGTGAGATAGTGTGTGCCGCCATGGCTTAGGGGTTAAAGCGCCTGTCTAGTAAACAGGAGATCCCCGGTTCGAATCCGGGTGGTGGCTGATTTGCTGATGATGATCTTGGAGTCAAGTTGATGGTGTTGTGACTGTCATCACACGGTTGTCTGTGTAAGCTGGCTCTCGGAGGCTCATTTTTTTCTCTTTTTCTCCTCCCATGAACTGAACATCGTACGTACGTACATGTGCCAATCCCATGACACCTTCTTCAGGCCATATGCATATGCCCTTTGATGAAGTCGCTCATCAAGTGTATTTTTCTTCTTTTTCTTTTACTGCACGTATTTAGTATAGATGAACAAGTTGACTCTGTATGCTGATTGCTGATATTCATCTGCTGTCTTCTTGAAGTCATTGAGATATACCAGTTCCGCTTGCAGCACTGTGTTTGTACATTCTGTACGTTGACCCGCATGCGTGCCACTTCCAGGGTGTCAAGGGCAAGTGTGTGCACATGTCTATGCATGTGTTGACTGTGGAGGCGTCAAGAGTCAGACAGTTTTTTCAAAGATCCGGAATGACTGGTGTACGAGTGGTGCTTACAACACGGAGAGGGATTGCAGGACTAACTGCAGCCTTGTAGGGCGGGCTCTTTGAACTTACTTACACATGCCTGTATTATTGACCAAGTACGAGGGCAATACCGTACGATATTTGCTTGAACAGCGTCGGCCACCACCCATACACCAGTCCCCCTCACGGTTTTTTAAATTTATTAAATGTCTTGAGTCTTGATACTCCAACACACGCACAGACATGTGCACACACCTGCATGCCTATTTATAAACAGTAAAAAGGACCAAGGAACTACAAGTTACACTATACTGTCCACTAACACCACCAGTTACTAAACAATCAGCCCATGCGATAACTTTGCACGACACTGACCGACGGTACTGACGTTCTACAACTAACTGGCTAACAGCTCTAGCACATCTTGGATGCGCACTCCAACAGCCTTCCAACTTGGAAGGTTCTAAGTTATAGAAATAACGTAAGGAGGGGAAGGTGTTAGTGCACATTATAGTGTAACTATTTACTTGTAGTTCCTTGGTCCTTTTTTACTTTTTATAAATTAATCCTTGGCTCTCCATCCGAGTCCATACCTGCATGCCTCTCGACCTTTTTTGAATGAAATTCTTGATCAATGTTCAACATGATTGTATCTACGACGAATGACGTAATCGAATAGTTCTTTGGTTTAGCAGACTTTTTTACATCAATAAAAGACTTTTCAATGCAGCGCAGATCAGAGTGAGTAAAAACTGAATGGAGCGTTTGTCAATTGACACCCCCCCCCCCCCCTCTTTTTAGTAGACCTTGTCATTGATTTACATTTTGAAATGCTACCAGAGGCCAGTTATGTCGTTTTCTTGTCGTTCTGGCATGCTCTGGCAATGTCACAAAGCCTATTAAATAGGCTTTGTGACATTGAACGACACGTAAGAGCATGACAGAACATGTAGACAACAAATTTTGTTGTCTACATGTACAGTGTAACTGAATGGATTTCTGTTGAAAGCTAATGCTCTACATAATTTATATTTTGGTGATCTGATTTGTGGTGGAGCCGATCACATAGGCTTGGTAGTGGAGGCCAATGAAAAGGCTTGCAAATATGTTCCTTCCAGAAAAATGATGTGGCGGCTTGTGTACGTGAGCTATTGTTATCTATGTAGCCGTTGCCTCACAGCTACTAGTATGTCAATGATGTTTTGCCTCAAGCATGCATGCGTCTTCTTATACCTGAAGGTGATGTTTGGTATTTTGCTTAAATGTCGTGGTGAGATAGCATGTGCCGCCATGGCTTAGGGGTTAAAGCGCCTGTCTAGTAAACAGGAGATCCCCGGTTCGATTCCGGGTGGTGGCTGATTTGCTGATGATGATCTCGGAGTCAAGTTGATGGTGTTGTGACTGTCATCACACGGTTGTCTGTGTAAGCTGGCTCTCGGACGCTCATGTTTTTTTGTCCTCTGGCCTTTTTTTATTTTTATTGTGCAGGATGTCCAGCTTGCCATTGATAGGGGAAAGCAATCGATGAAGTCGCTGGAGGATCAAATAGCGCGACTTTCAGTAAGAAAATGTTCCTGGTATTTGGCGCACTTGAGTTCAGTGTAATTATGTTAGTGTGTGTGTGTGTGTGTGTGTGCGCGTGCGTGCGTGCGTGCGGGCGCGGGCGGGCGCGCGCGCGGGCGTGCGCGTGCGCGCGTGCGTGCGTGTGTGTTGGGGGGGAGGGGGGGGGGGGGGTCTATTTTGACAGCTCCAGACCAAGTGTGAGCTTTTTTTAGTCCTTGGACGTAGCCCGGAAAGGAGAATGCCTACAGGTACTCGTCTTCCTCGGATGTCAACTTTACTTTTTTACGTGCGTCTATGCATCAAGTGTGGACCCTTTTATGTGCATGTACGCATGCGTTTTCTGGCAACGAGGGAAAGTATGTGCGTATCTGGCAATGATGAAAAGTGTGCGCGTTTTCTGGCAGCAGCAAAAAGTGGGAGTGGGTGGGTGCGGGTTTGGGTGTGGGTGTGGGTGTGGGTGCGGTTGTGGGTGTGCTGGCAATAGCGGAAAGTACAGCAGCAGACTAGGTGTGCAAGATCAGGGTAAACTGGGGGCAATTTTCTGCCCTGCACACTATTGAATGGTGCAATTGCCCAACATAGTTTACGCAGCCGTGGCGTTCGTTGATGGGTGCGTTTCAGATCTAAAAGTGTGTGTTTGTGTGTGTGTGTTTGTGTGTGTGTGTGTGTTTGTGTGTGTGTGTGTGTGTGTGTGTGTGTTTGTGCATGTGTATGTGTACATTTCCCTGTTCCCCTCAATTGCTACCAGCAACCATCCGTTGAGAGCTCGAAGCGGAAGTCTAGTAAGACGAGTGCCGAAGCGAAATCGAAACGTATTTGTGAAGAAGTTCTGCCGGTAAGGATGAATGATTTGATTTTGTACCTGGTGTAAAACCGTAGCAATGAGTCAAACGGTCACAAGATCAGTTTTTCTGGTCCGGATGCAATGGCCGAAGGATGTTTTGCTGAATAGTGAATAGTACCAGGGATTGAAAAGGGGAAAAAAACCTATTTGCATTACGAGTTTCAGCTACGGACGCAATTGGAAACGGCTGCTTGTCCGGTTTAGTTGCCCATTTGACTGCAGGTGGTAACATCTGTGAGGCCAGCTGTCTCTTACCTCCAGACTTTTGTTTATTGTACGTACAGTCGACTCCGCTTATAACCAACTCGCATGTAGCGAATTTCGTGATACAGCAAACTATTGTCCCAGTCCCTGTTTGAACCCATACAAAAATGGACGCGCTGTAGCGAACTGTTTTCATGTCTAACGAACCGTATCGTGTAGGGGTGCAGCATGTCAACCAACTACACTCTCAGTGCAGTCACTGGCCACATGCCAGCGGGCAGCAGGCATGATGCGTTATTTCTTATATTTGTATGTGTGAGTGTAGTTCTGTTGTAAAGAACTTTGGCTATTAGGAACTAACGTTAATTCTCCTGCACAGTGCTGTTAGTTAGATCAGGAATCGACTGTCTATTCAGACTAATATTCAGACCCCCAAACTACACTTACAGGTCGTATACCCGGACTTGGCTTGGGCCTCTTCACTTCAGCTTCTAACGACTGGGTGTCTGGCTGTACCCTGGGCTGTCACTGGATGCGTGAATACCAACACCTGTATCTATTTCTCACTGACTCTCTCGCTCTCTCTCTTTCTTTCTCTCTCTCTCTCTCTCTCTCTCTCTCTCTCTCTCTCTCTCTCTCTCTCTCTCTCTCTCTCTCTCTCTCTCTCTTCTCGCTGTACTTGTCTTTGCAGGGTGTTCTTGATGACCCGGTGCGTTTTTCTGACCCCGGCACTTGGATTAGAGGTTTACACAGCAAGCGGCAGGTAAGCCACTCTTGCCGTTGCACTATGATGCCTTCAATGATGGTGAGGAGGTGCTGGATCACCTACTCTGGACTGCCAAACCGCTTCCCAAGCATGCCTATTATTTCCGGCCTGCATTGAACTCGCTCCTTGGCCTTGGCCGTTAAATGCCCGGTACAGGCAAAACAGATTCTTTCCCAGATGCAATTATGTGTCATCAATGTGAAGTCATGTGTCAAGAAAGGCCAACAACGTAGGGCAATTCTCTGTCAACACCTTGCCTCGCCAAGTACCTCCTCATGTATTTGCTGTTGATCTCTAGTGGTTTTGAGTACGTTCTAGGGCTCCAATGTCTTCGTTGGACTTCAGTGTTCCCGTCTAGAGTGACCCGGCTGTCGCAGACATGTTACTTCAAGCGCCAGTCGATCCCTGGCTCAATGGGTCACATGATGCTGGTCACAGTACATGCACATGTGTAGTTCCACTGTGCGCCTGTCATACAGTACATGCACCCGTGTAGTTCCACTGTACGCTCTCTATGTCCGGTTTCTATGCCAATCTGGTTGCATGACAACGACGTGTAACAGCTCTATTTTATCCGATATTGTATTAATGGACTACCCCTCATACGCCTGAGGTCTATCTTCTGAAGTAATACGATAGTAGGTGAGAGAGGCCATAAGTTCATAACCATTCATAAAGATGTTGCTGGTTGAATGTCATTAGTGTTGCGAAGGCTTACTGTAACCGGAAAGTTTAACGAGCAAAAAGTTTAACGTTTTTGTAATTTTGGCATGATAGCGTGCAGAAAGTTTAACGATGGCTACGTAGCCACCTACCTGTATGCGCATCTTTACACTGACATCTCAAACCTGGTTTGCAATAATGTTTCTTCGAATAACGAAAAAATTGGTCGTTAAAACATTCCGGTTTTACAGTACCTTTTTCTACCTATTCCTCCCGTTCTGTTGCTTAGACTATCATGGAGTCCAGGGAGAAGCGGCGGAAGAAGCGCTCTGAGCTATCCAAGCGTCATAGCCATGCTTCTCACCAGCGCATGCGTATCATTGCTGAGTTGGCGCGGGAAAAAGGTGAGACTGGCTTGAGTGGTGTGCGTGTACTGGCTCTGAACAAGTGTGGAGTGCATGAGACACATGATTGTATTCGTCAGCGGAGTAGTTTGTTGATTGTTTTCGCTGGCGTTGAAATCCACTCAGAACGGCGGCACGTTCTGGACTGCCTCAGTTGGATGCGAGCCCCTTCAAATGACCTGTCCACGGTTGACACTGCACAATCAAACCATGGGAAGAAATCGTCTTCAAGCCACAGTTTCGCTGATGCTCCTCCTTTCTTGGTGAAGCGTATCCACTCGTCAATGGATGGCTGCGAAGTCTCCTTGGCACTTGCTGCGGCGTGCTGTAGTACATCTGTATCAGCCAAGTTCTGAAAGGCCAAGGTCGGAAAGGCCAAGGTCGGAAAGGCCAGGGTCGGAAAGGCCTTAGTACATCTGTATCAGCCAAGGTCGGAAAGGCCTTTGGATGGATTATAGCGAGCAGAATGTGGCAGTGTCCTCGAGCTGGGAGCAGCCTCTTTCTTGGGGCGAAAGTTCATCTTGGCCCGTAGACCAGGCAAGCATGAAATTTACTACATGTACTGCTTGTACATGTGTCATCTGTTTGTTGTTTTTTCAACTTTTCTGGTGGGAGAATCACCGGATGTACGTGTGCATCTCCACCCCATTTCTCCAGTGCTGCACCAAGGAGTCTAGAAAGGGGAAAAAGCGATAGTGTCCGCAGATTGAGCGTCTCCATTGCTCAAGAGGGTATTCGATAGTCATCATGCGTACAAGGATTTTGCCATTAGCTTGCCACTACTGAATTAGTACGGTGCTTCTTCTTTGAAGTATGTATGATCGCGCTGTTTTTTTCTGTTTTTTTTCCTTTGTTTTCTGTATACATAAACAATGTATCCTGGTGAGGTGTCATGTGACTGTGACTGTTCAATAGTGCCCTATACATTCACCATGCACTATGGACACTCTGTGGCTGTGCTGCGTTTTGCTATGCGCCTTGTGCTTTTGTTACTCACCCACATGTGTGTGCGTGTGTGTGTGTGTGTGTGTGTGTGTGTGTGTGTGTGCGCGCGCGCGCATGCGTGTGTGTGTGCATGTGTGCGTGTGTATGTGTATGTGTGTTCTATTGTGGTCTAATGCACACGTAGCATCTACGGATAGCCGTGGGAAGCCCAAGGAAGACACGTTTGGCATGAACGACGACGATTGGCATGTTTACAGGGAGATTGTAAGTAGTTGAAAATATCTCTGCCATGATCCAGTGATGTCCTAGTGTCCTGTGTTTCTTTTCTGTGGGCTCACTAGTGAAATGTGGACTGATGAGTAACGCAGTGCCAGGTACCATGGGCCATGGGCCATAGTACCTTCAAAGTCAAGTGTGCAGTAATGATTTCATACCATTGGAAAGTGGCTCAGTTTCATCTTCTTTCGAATGGAGATGCTTTTTCCCGATTTCTCATTTAGCTGTTCCTTGCAACTTTGCCACTATTGGTTTCTCAGCTGGCTTTCTTTTCTTTCTTTCTCTGATCTTCTGGGTAATGACCATGTTGTTTTTGTTGTGTTCTGCTCTCTTCTGCCTCCCGAAGAGCAAAGGAGATGGAGAGTCGGACAGCGAACGAGACGAGATGCGACTTTGTGAGCTGGAGAATCTGCTTCTGGAGCACGACCCCACCTACATTCCCACGTAAGGGCATGTGCTGTTCCGTGCATTCACTGAGCAAGATTACATCTGCACATAATGCGTGGCTGCAGGCATGCTTTCTAAATATTTCCCCAGTATTTGTTAACATGCAATAATACACACTTCCTCTAGAAAGTATATCGGAATCGGAAACGCATCAGAAGAACAAACGGCCGGCTTGCACAGTGAAAGAAAATTATTGCCACAAAAGACCTTTTGGCATTGTTTTGGTGCACCGCTTGGATAAGGAGGACCCGATAAAATCCATCACTCAAACTCGAATAGATCCAGGCCATCATCTGAATCACCATTGCTGCTGCTCCTATCGTCAGTGTCCAATGCGATGTTAGCTTCAACAGCGACGTTGTCGGCAGCGGCTGCTGTAGGTTGCTCAGGAATGCTAGTGTGGAGAACACACCTACCAGCTAGTTACACTTCTAATCAGGCCAACATGAATAAGAGAGCGTGGCTCACCGTGATCGGAGCCCTAAAATTACATGATTGGACACATGCGCTCGCGCACATACACTACTCGTCCTGTGTTCCATCCACCTTGGCCCCTATTCCACAGATCAGGAAGGATTCTCTGAGTGAATCTTCAGACACGCTGCCCCAGGCGCTGGAGACCCAGTCAATAACTTGTTGTCGGCCCGGCTGCTTCAAATTATTGTTGGCTGCGCGCGCGCGCGATTCATGCGTGCGGAACCACTCCACCCACAGCTCCATCAGCTTGCACTTGAACGGGCGGTTCACACGTACATCCATGGGCTGCACAAGACCAGTGCAGCCAAGGTGGAATCAGCATTGTCTGGCAGTTGCATTCACCGCTTGCTGTCTTTTTGGCCTCGTCACTGATGTGGGGACGATAGTTATCAGCCAGGGGAAGTCCCTTGTCCTCACCGGTTCCACCATGCACTCAGATACTGTATTTCCCCGATTGTAAGTCGCATCCAATTATAAGTCGCACCCCCATGTTGAGGTCTTCGTCATGTGGTTTCAGTATGTTCACTTCAGTAGAGAATCACGCTCGCATCCCCAGACCATCTGGTAAAAGGAGAGCGATCGCTCTCGCCCGCCTTCGCTCTCCTTATTTTCTTTTAGGGCGCACTTTTCGTCGCGCGCCTTGAGAATTTCGAGCGCATCCGCATCACTATGAAGTTCTGAAAACACTCAATATTTCGTAACTCGGCTTTCCCTGAACGGAATCGAGTAATCGAAAGGACTATTCGCATTAGAAAGATCTCAGCTGTCGGCTCCAACAAATCGGAAGTCGATCCGAGGTCCAATAGTGGAGTTACAGCACTCGCAAGGTATTTTACGTACCGTTGCAAATTTTCACTTCCGCACTTGGGCGGCAATCATAGATTCTTAGTATTTTTGCATAAAGCCTAGGATTTCCCTCTGTTGCGTGACAGTCCGGGCATGCATATACCTGTGTGACGCCAGGCACAGGTCTTTAGCGGTCAGCTACAGAAGGAAGGAGCGCTCTACGATGAATACTATTACTACGAAAATACCATGGATCTTAGCAAATTGTCTCAATTTCCCATTGCGTGTGCCATTGTCCCTGATGAAGGGAAACTAAAGCTGTGGTCCGAACAGCTTTCATTTGTAGTGCGTACAGCAATTTTCCAGAACGAATTTGGCAGCTATTGGGTATTGAATCCGATTGGGGTATGGCAAGATATTAAAAAAAAACGTATTGTGCTCGCCTTGGATAGATAAGGCGAGCGACTTTTTTTGGGGGGGGGGGGGCCCGGGGGAGGGGGGGGGGGGAACTGCTCTCCCACCACTCTCCTTGAGAGGATAGCGAGAGTGATTGTTCACTCTCCTGGATTTTTCTTACACGAAGGTCTGCATCCCCTCGTTTGACCTTGGGATTTGTTGCAAAAAGGTGCGACTTATATTCGGGGAAATACGGCAAGTGTGGGGGGGGGGGGCGGTTGTACGGGATATAAGAAATGAGAAAATTCCTTAGGATGAACTGGATGTTTACATGTGTGCAATCAATGTGGGTCACCCAAGAGAGTTCAGTCACGTACAGGCGACGGCCGGAAAGATAAGCTGTCAGCCAGGACCGTGGTTGTCCGCTGACCCTGAATGCATGTTGGAGCTTGCCCGAGAGCCCTTGATGCCAGACGGTGTCGAAGGCCTTGGCCAAGTCAAAGAAGCAGATACCAGCTAGGCTCGGTGTTATCCCCGTGCTGGTATACTTGGTGTGTGAGGCACGTCGGTTAGAGGGACGTGGAGTCGTCTCTGCGAAATCCAGATTGTGCAGGGCTCAGGCTCGGTCAAACATGGCTGTACGAATGAATGGTCATAAAATATGCTAAAATATGCGTTCACAGACAATAGAGGCGCCCATATGGCTTTACACGACGCCAGCCTCGTGTTCCCTGTTTGCATGCACACTGAGGTGGGTTTCGGTCAAACAAGGTTTGCACTGTCTTGTAGTCCGAAGAAAGTGCTCCATCTCCTATTATAGAAGCAACACTGAAGTTAATACTTGTACTTGAAGTATTTTGAAAAGCATATTGAATGGCGCTGTGATATTACTGTAAATGGAGGAATTTTCACCAGGTCTTTTTTCATCTGCTACTCGAAGTAGTATTTTTCAGCTGATTGCATCCAGTCCCGGTTTTGTGTTTTTGTGCATGCGTATGTGAATGTGTGTGAGTTGTGTGTGTGTGTGTGTGTGTGCGTGTGTGTGTGCGTGTGTGTGCGTGTGTGTGTGTATGTGTGTGTGTATGTGTGTGTGTGCTTGTGCTTTGCATGCTTGTGGTGTGTATGTGTGTGTGTGTACGTTTACATTCTGTCTGCTAGCGATGGACCGGAGGTTGCCAGTGCAGCACCCGCTCCGACGGCGGTGTCCTATCGGATAGCAGTTGGGACGGAGCTTGTTCGGTATGGTGTCTGCTTGTTGCGGTGCTGAGCTGCATGTGACCTTTTCCTCTCCCCTTTCCTCTCCCCTTTCCTCTCTTCTTTCCTCTCCTCTTTCCTCTCACCTTTCCTTTCCTCTCCCCTTTCCTCTCCTCTTTCCTCTCCTCTTTCCTCTCCTCTTTCCTCTCCTCTTTCCTCTCCTCTTTCCTCTCCTCTTTCCTCTCACCTTTCCTCTCCTCTTTCCTCTCATCTTTCCTCTCATCTTTCCTCTCATCTTTCCTCTCCTCCCCTTTCCTCTCTTCCTCTCCTCTTTCCTCTCACCTTTCCTCTCCTCTTTCCTCTCTCCTTTCCTCTCCTCTTTCCTCTCACCTTTCCTCTCCTCTTTCCTCTCACCTTTCCTCTCCCCTTTCCTCTCCCCTTTCCTCTCCTCTTTCCTCTCACCTTTCCTCTCACCTTTCCTCTCACCTTTCCTCTCCTCTTTCCTCTCTCCTTTCCTCTCCTCTTTCCTCTCACCTTTCCTCTCCTCTTTCCTCTCACCTTTCCTCTCCCCTTTCCTCTCCCCTTTCCTCTCCCCTTTCCTCTCCTCTTTCCTCTCACCTTTCCTCTCCTCTTTCCTCTCTCCTTTCCTCTCCTCTTTCCGCTCCTCTTTCCTCTCACCTTTCCTCTCCTCTTTCCTCTCACCTTTCCTCTCCCCTTTCCTCTCCTCTTTCCTCTCACCTTTCCTCTCCTCTTTCCTCTCTCCTTTCCTCTCCTCTTTCCTCTCCTCTTTCCTCTCCTCTTTCCTCTCACCTTTCCTCTCCCCTTTCCTCTCCCCTTTCCTCTCCTCTTTCCTCTCCTCTTTCCTCTCCCCTTTCCTCTCCTCTTTCCGCTCCTCTTTCCTCTCTCCTTTCCTCTCCTCTTTCCTCTCCTCTTTCCTCTCACCTTTCCTCTCCTCTTTCCTCTCTCCTCCACACTGTATAAACATGATTCCCTCCCCCTCCATGTTTTGACATGTCTCTTTCTGGTCTAGTAAAGTCTACATGAATTTGATGACATGTGAAGACAGTGGAAGGTTTCCACTTTCCACTTTCCAGAGTTTGGCCCTTCACGCTTACTCTGCACTACATGTTCTTTTACGAAGTTTCTTGTTATTTTTGAAGAATAGCGTAACTCAACTCCCCTGTAGCTGTGTCATGATCATGGCAACTGAAAGACTGAAGCATTGTGTTTGTGTAGCCAAGGACTTAGTGCGACAGTGTGCGCTGGAAGTTTATATGAAATTACTTGTTGGTTGGCCCTTTTCACTGTCAACCCGTTGCTGTTGCTTTTTTTCTCCTTACCATCGCTAGCGTACCGGAGATTCTTTTTCAGCCATCGTTGGTTGGCGTTGATCAGGCTGGTTTGGTGGACACGATGGAGTTTGTTCTGAAATCTTACTCCGACGAGCAGCAGCAAAAGATGGTGCAGGTAATTTCACCCTCGGATGTTTTTATATTTATATAATTATTATTTTTTTGTTGCTGTCTGATGATCGGGTAAAACCGTGAAACTCAGAGTTACAGAAGAAACGCTTTTCGTCCCTCTCAAGTGTGTGTATAATTATTATTATATACTTGGCAATTGCATCATTCAGCCATGAAAGTAACGTTACTCATACTCGAAAGAAGGATTGAAGAGTGTTCTGCTGTAGCTCATTCTTTCCATGTGTTCAAACGTTAAACTATCGATTTCATTGACATCAGCCTTTCAGCGCATCACGTCAGCTTTGTTTCTTTTACATTGACCTTGGGATGGCAGTGCCTGCTACATGTCCTGCCAAGTATAACACAAGCACATTTACACATGCGTGCATACCAAGACACACACACACACACACACACACCTTTGAACCTTTGGATGCCCATTGCTCCGTGCAATGATAGCATCAGGAGTTGCAGTATTTCCTGTGGCGAGTTAGATCGTTGGGCCAACGGAAGTCCCTGCCACAGCCGCAAATGAACACTCTAGGCTTTGGCACACACACACGCACACACACACACGCACGCGCGCGCGCGCGCACACACACACACGCACACACACACACACACACACTTACTTACTTCATCCAGTATTGTGTCCTCAGGGTCATTTGTCAATTGCTGCATGGGTAATTTGCTTGTAGAAGAATCTACAGACACATTGGTGCGTGTTTTTGGCCGTGATGCCGAGACCTCAGGTCGGCAGAGCCACCAATGCCCCGCCATCACTGCTGCGTCTCAGTGCAGCCTCTGCTCAGTAGTTATCATGTTTGTCCTAGTCTCAGTGCCATTGTCTTTCATTATTATTTTCGAGCTGGGAATGTGAACATGGCTAAAAAAAATCCTGTTTGCTTTTGTTGCCTTGTGCTTGCTGTTTTCCGCAATGCAGAATGTCTTCCTTACCGGAGGCGTGTCAAAATACCCCAACTTGAAAGAGCGTGTGGACAGGGAGTTGCTAGCAATGCGTCCGTATCAGTCTTCTTTCGGTGTTACACTCGGTGGTAAGTGGCTGCTGGATGATATTCCATTGCTTAACCAATAGCCAATAACCATACATGCACACATTGCAGACAAGGAGGGGGGGGGGGGTATGGCTCTAGCACTAGAAACAAAGTGTTTTTTTCTGACTTTCTCACAAGTTCGTATTTAATTAGCCCCTATCGTATAATTATTAATTATATTGTAGTCGACAAAGAGATGCGCCGTGTGTTTGCCAGAGTATAATTACACATACCGTCCTGAAGCAATGTTGCAGGTGCGAAAAAATGCGTCCTTGTTGCCATCAATTAACCTTAATTTGGCCGTCACAAAAATTCAGCGTATTCTCGCAGTTTTTTTCTTTTGTTTCGGCTTGTATTGGACCAATTAACCCTCTCAGTGCCACGGGCGACTTTAGTCGCCCAGAAGGAGTATATGAGTACAAATAAATTCGTATCTCCACTTCTACGTACAGGAGAGTTACAAACGACCACTCTATGTCTTCAGGAAGACCTTGGCTATCGACTCATCACATCGTTTTGTGTCCGTGATGATAGATATAGCCAGGGCGAAGCCTGAAGCGCGCGCGTTCGGACAAACAATTGTCGCGTGTAGAAAACATGACGTATGCGCATCGCGGGTTTATCTATTTCTTTCGCGGCAACCCATGCGTGTTGGGTATCAAAACATCGAGATTTTCAGTGGCTTTCAGGCCAACTTTGTCCGAATTTCGGGCGTTGAAAGTTGACTGCACTGCGATCGATCGCGCGCGTGAGAAAGTGCAGATGCAACGAAAATGCAGAAAACGGGCTTCGCTCAGGCGCCCTGGCGAGGAACACTATTTTCGCTGCATTTTCTCTTCACAGCTGTCTGCCTGGCCATGATATCATTCCAGAGAGCCATCGTTTGTAAAGATCCGTGGATATACAGCTGAGCTATGAAAAATTTGAGTTCAGCTCAACTCAGAAAATTTGAATTTTTCTGACCCCTTGGCACTGAAAGGGTTAAGCATGTTTATAAGTTTGACCTCAATATGTCCATGCATTATGGAAATATTTATATGTTCCCAAAAGGGAACGTTGGCCGGATCGCGTACCGAAAAGACCCTGGTTTTTATGAAGGGAAGATTCAATATGATATAATGGATTATGTTGCCTTCTAAGTGTTTGTGGAGCAATGCAAACATGACCAAGCAGTAATGGAGAAGAAAAAATATGTAATAGTCGTCAAGGAGTGTCCAGCAATGTTTCTTAGTGTTTTCGTGTGCAACCGTTCGCGTCTCGTATACACCGTGGTATTCGATCCACGATCGAAATGCAGTCGAACTCCACACTTAGAACAGTAACATATCGTGGTTTGTCTGCACCATTTACAACGACATTGTGTTGTCCACATTCTGTGTTGTCAAACGCCCTTATATTGCACATCAACAGCAAGACACTGGTGGTTCTGGGCGGGGTCGGCTATAATAAAATAGGACGGCGATCTCGGGATGAAACTGGATGTAGGACGTCGGCTTGGGGCTCGCCGCTGCTTGAAAAATTGGCACTCTCAGATCAGTTGTAAGACTGTGGAGCCAGACAAAAAGAATTACAATGAATCTCTCAAGATTGTCGGTCTCCGAGCTAATGTGGGCCTTGTCCGTATCGCGGGTATCGCGCGGTACTTACTCGTCTAATATTGTTTAGAGATGTACAGGGTGTGTATACCTCGCGATTGGCAAGTGGGTGATGCTGTAGTGATCTCGTGGTGATCGGGAAGGGATTTGTCCAGTTCAATTTCAGGACGCCTATCGTAAACACCAGCCTATTTCACCCAAAGCGTTTCTCCAGCGGGTTTTTTGCCGTCGTACTCACTATCAACAGGACAGGCACCAACATCATCATCCTCTCCATTCGTCACCTGGTAGTTGTCTAGGTCCATATATCTTGCAAGTTCGATGAAATCCTTATCATCCGTTGAATCATCTGATTACTACTCTATTTCATCGTCCATGTTCAGATCAACGAGAGTGGTGAGCACACATGCTCTTTCCCTGGGCACAGCAAATTCACTGCATCAGAATCACTGAATCATTAGCACCATGCAGTGAACTGAGTTGTGAATTTGCAGTGCTCAGGGAAGGAGCAAGTGTGCTCACCACTTCTTTTCGAGTTATGAAGCTGCAGGATGCCTTACCCCTATAGCGCTTACGTTCAGATTGCCAGTAATCGGTGGCACTATGACTAGGTCCTGAAGTGTGTTGGAGTTCTCAACAATGTCCTTAGCTTCCATTGGAATCACTTTTGAGTCCCTTTCCAGAAAGGACTCTGCTACTGTAAAAATTTCCCTCTGCCATACCTAATTACAGTTAAAGCGATATTTTCTGACAAAAATCATCGAAAGTCCAGGAGAACGGCATGAAGCATCCATACTTTGCTGAATATTGTTCAAGTGAATCTTGTTACACAAAAGAAAACCTACTTCAGAAGTATATCCCTTTGGAGACTGTTTAGCAATCTTTACTTTGGCAAATGTCAGGCTCGCAAAGCATTGCTGTATTCCGCATGCCAGTGAATCACGAATATATCACAAAATTTGGTTACCATGGAGACGGTCCAATCACCATCAAAACATCAAAAAGGCTCCATCAGTTATATATCCACGTTTACGGATGTTACAAACAAGACATATGCCCTAGATATACTGTTTCCTGAAATCTGGTGAAAATGAGGTATATCTGGGTCTCGGATCAGGCCAATGTTCCCTTTTGGAACATCGAAGAAAGACGGCGGGTTTCTATGTGCCATGACCAAATTTCCGGTGAATCTTCAGGCCAGTTGGGTGGCCATAGTAGCAGAGTGCACTTCTTACGTTTTGAATAGTCTGATAAAGACTGTTTTTCACACCAGAATTCTCAATTTCTGAAGTACGGCCGAATACCGAAAATTCACGACATTTCGCGTTATATACCGATACTTGAAAATTTCAAAAGCCTGACAAATATTCCAAGATTCATGATCATCAGCCTTCTAGATATGTATATAAACAGAAAATGCGGAGAAAAAATGAATTTCCCTTGACCAAATCGCATGCGGAAAGATATGTTCTCTTTTGGGAACATTGGCCTGATTAAGGTTAAAAACTGCTACCTGTTCTCTTTCTGGCTTCAGGGGATCCACATCTGGATGCCTGGCATGGCGCAAAGAAGTTTGCCGTGGAAGAAGCCGACTTTGCCTCACTGTCCCTCAGCCGCGCTGACTACTATGAGCGTGGAGGGGAGTATCTGCGGCAACACCTTGCGTCAAATGTATTCGTTTCTCGGTGATGACTCCCTGGAGTTATTTCCCAGTGATGCCTCCCTGTAGTTATTTCCCAGTGATGACTCCTGTAGTCATTCCCAGTGATGACTCCTGTAGTCATTCCCAGTGATGACTCCTGTAGTCATTCCCAGTGATGACTCCTGTAGTCATTCCCAGTGATGACTCCTGTAGTCATTCCCAGTGATGACTCCTGTAGTCATTCCCAGTGATGACTCCTGTAGTCATTCCCAGTGATGACTCCTGTAGTCATTCCCAGTGATGACTCCTGTAGTCATTCCCAGTGATGACTCCTGTAGTCATTCCCAGTGATGACTCCTGTAGTCATTCCCAGTGATGACTCCTGTAGTCATTCCCAGTGATGACTCCTGTAGTCATGTCACTGTGATGCTGCCTATAGTTGTTTCCCAGTGATGACTCCCTATAGGAACAGTCTGGTAGTCCTGCTAGTATCTGGATATTACTTGTGTGCCATGCGGAGGAACCCTTTGCTTTTGCTGCTGGTGCTCGTGCGTCGGCAGGGGACACTATTCTAAGAGTGCTGGAGACTCCTTGTTGCCTCGGTCCTGGTGAATGCACGTCGTGAGAGGCACGATAGGACAGCAGTACGTGCTTGCAGTCAGTTTGGCTTTGGGGAAAACTTCTCACCTTGGTAAGACCATGCACAAGATTATGCAATGGCTGAACACTGCTCTCAGCGTAGTCGGATACCGGTCCGATGGATTGTACATATTCGTTTGTTTACTTGCTATGTACAAAGCTTTCCTCGTTTGTAAATACAATCATTGTCATGTCGCTGTATCTTGTTTGTAAATACATTGTCATGTCGCTGTATCTTTTGTGGGGTATGGACTGGTTTCTATATATACTCTTGTGCTTCTTAGATATAGCTTTCTTTTATTCGTTTTTACCATGCGTTTTTGACAAACATACCTGCAGGCATACCCCCCCCCCCCACGCACACAAACAGGCACACACTATTCAGTATTATCATTATAGTTTGCCCGTGCTTGGTAAGCATTTGTGTCCTGTGTGCTCATGCCCAAGTTTACCAGCTATATAATCACTTCCTTTCTCAACTGATGTATATCCCCTGGCAATAGGTCATGCTCGTGCTATATTCAGTCTTGTCCACACTGTGCTCTCTCTCTCTCTTTCTCTCTCTCTCTCTCTCTCTCTCTCTCTCTCTCTCTCTCTCTCTCTCTCTCTCTCTCTCTCTCTCTCTCTCTCTCTCTCTCTCTCTCTCCCCCCCCCCCCCCCCTCTCTCCCCTCTGCCTCTTTCTCTCTCTCTCTGCCTCTGCTGTGAGCTTAGTTCACATCTAGATGGAGTGCATGCAGCTCTGCTGTACCATATCGCAACTGTCTTTTCTTTGCCTTGCTGCTTATTTGCTGTCTTGCCTTGAACGGCTCCTGGAGAGCCTAATTCACACAAACACCTGGATCATGGCAGCGTATGTTCACCAACATGTGCCAGGACTACAATAGGGAGAAAGGAGGAAATGGGTATGGACTGCTCGGGAGTTTCACGCTGCACACGATCATCAGGTACATGTAACTGGGTTACATTGTACAAGTATTTTGAAGTACTTCGAAGTACTCAGCTTGCGTACCAGGACTAGGCATGCGCTTGTCTTCTTCTTAGTCAGCACGGTGATTGCCTACGGACGCGGGTTTTCCATTCTCTTGACAATCATCATGCAGTGAGACCAGTGGGTTCAGTACTGTGTGGGGTGGCGACAATGCAATGCATGCGTGAGATGATGCCATGATTACTGTAGCCGTTAGTGATGATTTCATCATATGGCACACGATTTCCACATGCGCAAGTCAGAATTCTGTATGCAGTAGTAAGTAATTAGCAATGGTGCACAAGAAGGATTAGGTGTCAAAAACAACAACAATATTATTTAGACTAGGAAGAGCTTGGGTATGGCAGCAAGGGAAAAGAAAGAGCAAGCTGCAGAACAAGAAGAATATGTAGGCACCGGCAACATGGCTTATTAATTGCATCTCGTATGTTCCTTTATAGGTGAATTAACCAGCAGTCATTCAACTGCCAACAAACTGCAGACTAACAGATCGGGGGCAAGACGTGTGGCAGATGTTTGCTAACGGATGTTTGTGTGCGCGTGTGTGCGTGGATGCAATGTGTGGGCGTTTGTTAGCGGCCGATGCTGATCCAAATGCATAACTGCTACTGCTACTGCTGCTGCTGTCGTTGCTCACACCTCCTCCGGCTGCCCTCTGCTGTCGGTCTCCTCGGCACCTTCCATTGCCTCGTTGATGGCCGTCTCCTCCTCGGGCTGCTCCTTCTTCTTGCGCTTGATGCTGGAGCGCAGTGCGTCGGAGAGTGACACCTTGTTCACAGTCCGCATCTCCATGTCACCGTTCTGGCCGGCGGCACCTCCCTCTTCCTCTTCCTCGGTGACGGCGCCCAGGTTGGGGCGCGCCTGGTTGCGCTTCGACGAGGCCTTATTGCGCACGCGCTTGGAGCGGCGCGACTTGCGCAGGTAGGTGGCCTCATCGGCCTTGCCGGCCTCCGGATCGCCAGCGGCGCCAGTGCCGGAGGATCCGTTAGCGCCCACGCCGCCGGTCAGCGGCACCTTGACGATGTCACCGCTGGCCGAGATGCCGCCCTGCTGCTGCTGCTGGTCCTGCTTGTCCCACGTGTTGGCGTAGCCGTCCTTGTCGTCGATGGTGCGCTGCACCTCCAGGTAGTCCTCCTCCTCCAGCAGGTCGTTGTCGAAGAACTCGTAGAGCAGCTCCGGGTAGCGCAGGTACATGTAGTAGATGACAGTGGCAGTCAGAACGCACAGGATGCCCGTGAAGAGCGTCAGGATGAACGACCAGCCGTAGTGCGGCTCCATGAGGGCGCCCTGGGCGATGGGTATGATGAGCGGCGGGCCGTGCTGGTCACGCATGCCAGCGTACACGCCGGCGCCGATGATCTGCAGCAGGCCGGTGATGCCGAGCAGGAAACAGGCGGAGGCGATGGCCGTCGTGAACAGCAGGATGGACAGGATCCAGAATGCAAACGATGACCTGCGGCCGGCAATGACAAGCGCACACGCACGCGCGCACGCACACACACACACACACATACACACACACACACATGTATGCACGCACAGCATTGGAGATCAGTGCTTTTGCCTTATGGTGGTGTAGCGTGTGCGCTCATCTACCATAATTGTGCCAACCAGACCAGACAACAATGACGGAATATGTGCTCCGAGCCACCCACCACACACATCCTCAAACATGTACCATGCACGCACACACACACACACACACACACACACACACTCACGCACGCACGCGCGTGCACCCCCCCCCCCCCCCCCCCACACACACACAGACATACATGTGAACACACAGATCATGCAGACTATAGTTCAATTCAGACCACAGTCTACTAGTACTCACCACATCAATAGATTGCAGTAATAGCCAGCCTGACGGAAGTTGCGACCCCAGCGGATGTCCTCTCCGTCCAATGTGAAGTACTCAAGAATCCACAGAATGGGCAATGGCGCTCCACGGAGTTGAGCATAACGGAACTCTTGACTGACGATACCGGCTGGGGGTAACATAATCAATAGCCAAACACTAGCATTTTTTTCAATGTGTTGGCATGCGTGTGTTTACATGTGTGTGTGTGTGTGTGTGTGTGTGTGTGTGTGTGTGTGTGTGTGTGTGTGTGTGTGTGTCTGTGTCTGTGTCGAAAAAAAAGAAGAAGAAAAAAAAGGAAAAATGGGGATTCACTGGCCAGAAAAAGTCACTTCAATCAGCTGTGTGGTGGATACCAGGCTAAATTAGTGGCGGTCAATTCATCAGCCTTGCAAGCTGTGGAATGGTGCAATCCCAGCACAAGTTGCTATGTCTAACATAGCTGTTCGCTATCATCGCTTCCGCGATGGGCATGTCTGAGTCTGAGTGTCTGTGTGTGTGTCTGTGTGTGTGCGTGTCTGTGTGTGTGTGTCTGTGTGTGTATGTGTGTGTATGTGTGTGTGTCTGGGCTGTCAAAATGACGAATACTAGTAGCTTCCAACGGCTGCTGCATTCTCTCCGCATCCTTCCTCTACTCTCGTCTGTTGCACCCCGAGCCTGGACGGTGATGATGTGCCCATGCCAGATGTGAGCACGAGATGCCGCAGAGGATGCATAGCATAGCATTATGTGTATGACGAGATGCCGCAGAGGATGCCGCATAGCATTATGTGTATGACGAGATGCCGCAGAGGATGCCGCATAGCATTATGTGTATGACGAGATGCCGCAGAGGATGCCGCATAGCATTATGTGTATGACGAGATGCCGCAGAGGATGCCGCATAGCATTATGTGTATGACGAGATGCCGCAGAGGATGCCGCATAGCATTATGTGTATGCACAAGAACAGTCGTCTCCTAAGTTGCCTTGCCTGATCAGCGACCCAAAGATGGCCAGGAAATCACAGTTCGAACATTGACTGGACTGAGACTGGCATGTGACCATCTTCGAACATTGATCCTAGCCGCTGGGTGGGAAAGTCTGAACTATAACTCCCAGGCGCATAGCCCGTTTGGGGCACGGGGGGGGAGGGGGGGGGGAGCACTTGCACCCCCCCCCCCTCCCCCACTAAAAATGTCGACCCAGGCTCAGCATGCACATAATGAACATGAGGCATGAATGTTATGCACCTGCCATCGTACACATATGCGGTCGTGCACTCCTCCCCCCCCCCCTCCCCCCTAAAAAAGGGACCAGCTACGCCTCTGCCACCGCTTATGTGTGGAGGAGAGAGAGAGAGAGAGAGAGAGAGAGAGAGAGAAGGGGGAGGAGAGGGTGCAGTCAAGCAAGAACAGTTCTCTCCTATACCCGCGACGGGGAAGCCTACCTTGAGGACCGAAGCCCAGGCGCCCCTGAAGTTGACCAAACTCGTAGTGCTCATTGTAGTTGATCTGTTCTGTGCTGTTACCTTCAAAGCTCTGGTATTCCGGTTTACCTATACATATAAAATCGTAAAGTGAAACAATGCCAACCCAGAGGAGAAGTGATTAGCACAATAAATGCATAGGGCATTGCAGCGGTAGTTACCGCTTATGCCGGTCTAACTCGACTCCGAGTCTGGGAAATCAACACAATGTTAGGAGGGCATTCAGCAGCAAGCTATACTACCCCCCCCCCAATACTACCCCCCCCCCCCCCAACACACACACCACTACCACACACACCACCACCATCACTACCCCTTTCTATATCTTCCTGCTGTAGTTTAACTGTTATACAAAGGTGCAGGCAATACAATATTTGCCTGCACCTTTGTGGGTTCGTACATGACTTCGTAATAGCCAGCTGGCATGGCACAATAACATGTTTCACATTTACAATGGCTATTTACCTCGGATGGTTCTTCACTATCTGCATCACATTGAACAATTGAACAATTTTGTGGAATGAACAATAAAGATGACATACCACCCACCACCCCTACCACCCACATACACAAACACACACATACACACACACACACACACACTCCAAAGGGCTGCTCCGCACACAACTAAAGTCACGAGTCAACATTGCTGAGCACGTCAACCGTCATTCCTGGTGTGAGACAACTACACTTGCAGTGGCCCAAATCAGTATACCTTTCAGAGTGATATTCATGCCCCGCAGGCCAATGTGGAATCCAACCTCTGCGTGTGCCTCAGTGGTGCTGAACTGCTTCAAGTAGACATACGTTGTGACTTCGTCAACCATCCAGCCGTCGCCAAAAAGGCAGACTGGAAGTAACAACAGAAGAGCACATGTGTACACACACACATGCACACACATGCACGCACGCGCGCACACACACACACACACACACACACACGCACACACCATAAACCAAAGGCGGGCTGTACAAGCAGTTCCACACACCACTGGTTTAATGGAATATGCAAGCAGTTCTCATAACAAGCTGCAGCGGCACACACTCGACAATGCACCGAATCGTCCCGGCATCGTGACGTTGCCATTTCCTCCTGTACAGACGATGCAGCGCAGAACGGTGTACACGTCACAAGAGAGCTATGATGAAGTCATGTTTGACGACTAGCACAGGCGATGACCTCATGCAGCAGTCATGCTTGGCGACTAGCACATACGATGACCTCATGCAGCACAGACGATGACCTCATGCAGCACAGACGATGACCTCATGCAGCAGTCATGCCGTGTCCTTACCGAGGATGGAGGCACCAACAAAGCTGGCAAAGAGGGCACGGACGAAGACAGAGAGTTTCTGCACGTGACAAACAACACAACACCCATAAACAAACTTCAGGAGATTGGCCTGCGTCGGGTTGCCAGAGCGGATCGTAAGAAACACAGGTACTCAGAGTTGCAACAGACCTTCCTCACTCCTTACTGTGTTGTGTATGTGTGCATCGTTTGGGCATATACATACGTACATACGTACAATGCACTGCACATGTTTGCGATCAGGTTATCATCTTTCCACAACCATTTTCTGAGTTCTCCTTTGGAAGAAATGATTAATTTTCTTCCACCAACCAATCATCTTGAAGGGGCCATGTTCAATGTCAAGTTTCCCTATTTGTGATCTATATCTGGAGTTCATGCACGTCATATCCTATAATTATTACAGGTTATTGGCATAAGATTTGATGCAATTGCCATAACTTTGTACATCCGAGAAACCACACGCAAGCCGCAGTACCATCATGGCACCCAACTCAGTTGGGTACAGTATACTACTAGTACTTGTCTGCCCCCTTTGCAGCCATCAAGCCTTCAAGCCAGTCACACCGGGCCAAATCATCCTCTTACTGTCTTAGATATCATTTCAAGAGTCCTATTAATTGAGGCTGCATGCAGTGAAGCACTTGGCTGCTCTTCACTGCAGGTGGAAAGTACCCAGACATAATAGGTATTACATGTGTGATGTGTGCATGCATGTGCCAAGCTGTGACCCACACACACCACACACACCACACACACGTAACACACTGAGCAGCACTGGGTGCTCCTATCAACATCCAGCCACCACCCACTACAGCAGCAAGCTGCACTGCACCTCCTGCAGGCCGCATTTGAAGATAGTCTCTTGCCCTGGGTTTAGAGGAATATCTGCTCTACTCAGCTATAGCTGCCAGCAGCCCATTCTCAAGCCACTTGCACACTGAGACAGTGGCAAACACTGCTGCACACACCAAACAGGAACTAAGAACTTTTGAAAAGTTCTGATATCTTCACTTGAAAGTGATATACTGAGCCCGGTGAGCTGCATTGGACTGATAAGAGAAGAGCTCCCGGAATCCACCAAGACAGAAAAAGGTCATACAGCCCCACAACCAAGGAGCAGCTCAGCTTGACTTCTTGAGATATTGAGTTTTGCTCTTGGGCTTGCCAACAAGACTAACAGTAACATTACAGTTGAGACTACTACTACTACTACTACTACTACTACTACTACTACTACTACTACTACTACTACTACTACTACTACTACTACTACTACTACTACTACATGTGCCTAGTACAGTCTATGATTCTCCGTGGACCTGGTCTTCAATGGGGGACAAACAAATGTGTGACTTTATCGGAGTACATGACTTTTAATAATACGTGACTTTGAAGTAATAATATAAAGGTACACACCATCCAGTTTCGAACATGCGTGACTTATTTATCAGGAGTAGACAGTACAACAGCGCCAAATGGGTGACCCACACACGTAGAAAGTACTGGGGAAATAAGACAGTAGACAGTGCCAAAACAGTTCAAATCCGATGATTATTGTATACCTAAACATGTTAGTTTTCTCGCCACACCCCGGCACCGTGTACAGTGCACCACGGCAGGTACCGTGTACAGTGCACCATGGCAGGCACCATGTTGGATTTTGCAATGAGGCACAACGGTCCTGCCCGGCCAGCTTGGAACTTATATAAACACGGAGAATTATTTCTCAATCATTGAGAAACAATTCATCTATAGGCATGTTTAAGTGATCTAGTAACTTGACACGTACGTAACCTCATTCATTCCTTCTTCTCTCGTGATGAGATTCAATGAAAAAAGCTCCCACCACTGGTCCAACAACAATGTCACTGAACTCAAGCATTCATAGAAATGCTAGTGATCTCAGTGCCAGTGTTTCAATCTACATATGCATTTATGCATTTTTTTGTTGCTGTCCACAGATTTGAGTATGTAGCATTTTGCATGGGAATATCATTCTTCAAAAATGGAAAATGGGTGATGGGGTGACTGTTTCCTCTGCTTCCCCCCCCCCCCCCCCCCACTATTTTGAGCTTGCTACTTGGAACCCTGATGATTGAAGTCAATTTTCAGTCTGTCTCTTGATTGGAGGGGGGGGGGGGGGGGCACTATACAGTCTTGAATGAACGACACACATTCAAGGTTATACACGTCACGGTTAGCATTTTGTACAGCTGAGCTGTACCATTCTTGATACCATCAGCTAGGCTGACAGAGGTGCTGCTGGGGGTCTTGAATGCTTTCTCCCTCCCACAGAATACTGACGGTCACAGAATTACAGAAAACCACAAACAGGGGCCTCGTCTTCATCCAGTAACGTTCGCCATTCTTTGTTGCCGTGGTACATGGTTTGTGCTTGTCTTCGCTGTGCTTTCCTTCCCCTCTTTGGACCTTTCCTAACCCGAGCCTTCCAGGTTGGAAGGTTGTTGGTTTGCGCCTTGTAGATATGTTGGAGCCAGGTGTCAGGTGGTTTAATGTCTCAGTGCTCCCTGTCAGGTTTGTGCCTTGTTATCACACTCGCCGACTTAATATTATCTGCTTGCTTTGGTGGGAAGTTAGTTAGTCAGAACTCGCAGAATATAAATGTTCTCCTTCCTTTTCATCCACGATTACATTGGCTCACCATCCGAGTTCAAACAGGGGATAGATGGGTACGGGGAACATTGTTTAGGATAAGCAGCTGTAAGGCGATGCCTTGTATTTTCAATCCAAATGACCGCGTGTTTTAATGTGTGATCAGCGCATAAACCGTATAGGTCAGATTAGAAGAACTCGCAGGGATGAGAACTAGTCCCTTACTGACCTTACTGACCTTAGCCCCTAAAGACACGGCTGATTGATGACGGTGTGAGTGTTGTGTCTGGGGAACCCGGCGTCTGTACAGAGCAGGCAGGCTTGATTGATTATGACACAGTTTACACGTCATTATCGCCTACACACTAGTAATACGTAATAACTGTACCATAGGATGTGCCGCTACTGCGAGTGACCAGACGCGCAGTTTTCATACATTCTCTTTTGGCAAACAATTTCACAATCTAGGGACAAGTAGCACGGCGTCTGCCTTCAAAGAATCACAACATCGTGCATAGAGGACAATAGTCCTTCCATATCCACCATCACTAAGTTACCTTCACAAGTCATTAAAAAAAACAGCCTCTGACAAGCCGGGAGAACTCTATTTTCGGCTGAGCAAAGCTCATAGATTTATCACTAACACAGTGTTACAACTGCACTAAACAGTAGCTGTCTGGATGTAGATAACTGGTACAGTGAACCTCCCTTGATCCAGACAGTTCGGGACTGCATGAGTACTGCCCGTAGTTAGAAATTGCCCGTAATTACCGCGTGCATGTAAACCTTTTTTTATGCCAATCAATAGTTTTTGGGGTCATTTTCCATTGAAAGCCAATACAGTAGGTCAGAAAGGTGCCCGGTAGATGGACGTGCCCGGATTAGGGACGTGCCCGGATTAGGGACGTGCCCGGATTAGGGACGTGCCCGGATCTGGGGAGTTTTACTGTACATTTTAATCAAAGTAGATGATCTTAGGTAGATAGGGTCAGGAATCAGGATGGGATGACATTGTCCAATACTCGCCAAAAAAATTCGGCCAATGCTGCACATGGTAGTCGACTATGATGCATGTAGCATTGGCCAGCTTTTTTCGGCAAAAATTCTGTAGATCTACAAAGACTACATTTACATGACTAGTACATGACAGCAAGCACCCAATAGAGCCACTTCAGTTGGCCCAGTTGCAGTTTTGCCGTTATCCCTTTAAGAGCCGCCCCATACTTGAATGCGTCGTAAACGACGCATTCAAATGCAAAACTTCAAAAGATCGTAACTCAGTCCAATCTCGCTCAAATCCAGTGATCGAAATATCCAGGGCAAAGAGAAAACTCTCACCTGTCGGGAGCAACAATCCGCGAAGCGCTGCGAGCAACGGTTCCTGAGATAAATCACTCGTAAGTTGAGCCGCGATCGCGGCAATTTCAAAAGCGCGCAGTGCGACTTTAGTATTGAGAATTTTGAGACTTTTCGTCATGCTGGTTTACTCGAATTTGCATGGGTTTCACTGTTGATATTGTCAAGAGTACACCACGAAAAAACAGGAACTCCACGATCGAGTAAAATGAAATATCTGGAGCGGGACGCAATTGGACGCATTTGGGGCATTTTTCGTACTGTCGCTGCGATCTAGCGCTGGATAGACGGTGTGCTGGCTATCATGATCGACCTCATTCTCTTCCTCTCGGGGAGACCTTTCCAGGAAGCCCTAGATTATGAGGATTGAGTGAGTAGAACTGGAGCTATGATCCAAGGAACACGAAAAAATGCAGAATTTTGAAATTTTCCTGTGGCTCTTAAAGGGTTATAATATAACGGCAAAACTTATGTCGAAATTGGCACAATGTCCACCAGTCTTTTCGACTTGCCAGGAATGCCTCCAGGTCCATGTGAATGGAGATGTATAATAATAATAATACTCAATCTGCGAACAGAACTGTTTCGTCCTTTGTGGACTCGTCAGCGCAGCACAGAGGAAATGAGGCCGAACCTGATAGCAATGGAAATAAAAATTTCCAACCAGGCCCGAACGTACCTTGCCAGAGTGCTCAAACTGACAAGCTCTGCATAATAATAATAATCATAATAATCATAACACGAGCAAGTTGCATCTGCAGATGTAGATACTGTGCAATGATCATGTTGTTCGTTTAGTGCTCTGCTGGAGGCCATCGAGTCCTTCAAAACAAACTACCAAAGCTAGGAGAAGAACACTGTTCGTTAGTCAATTATTTTGGAACTGATCAGACGCCAACCAACCTTGACACTATGCACCAAAGCTTGGCAATAAAGCGTTGGTTTGCGATGACAAATAACGTTAGTTAGTTGCTATTTTAGTGCTAATGACAGCGCTAGCGTACACGAGGTTGAGGGCGTCATAATCAGAGTCTCGATCCCTCGCACTCTACTCCCAACCACGCTCCACGGCACGAAATATTTCCTTTCGAGCGGAAGACATCGGAAACCTTCTTCTGGGACAACCTGAGGTGATCGTGAGGGAGTACGTATGCACACTGTTCAAGACCAGCTGCACTCATTTTCTCACAATCATAATGATTGACTTTGCTAGCTTGCTGTGAGTGAGTATGAACTCCAACGACAACGTCAACGGTCAAGCGCGTGACTGGAAGTGGAAGCACCTACTGCGGATTCCTCAGAACTGTGTCAAAGCAGTCGAACAAGATCTTCACAGCATGGCCACATCTCGACTCAAGCCTGTACTAAACTCATTCGCAGACTAAAGGGGCGCATTCCGGGTAAACTCCAACTCCAAACCCACTGTCTGTCTGACCGACTAAGAATCCGTGACTAAAACGTCCGGGTACAATCTGAACAAAACGAGCACACGAATTATCCGCTCTCTCACTCCCACGTCCACAACAATCAGAGCATTTTCGCCACCATCGCGAAGACTGGTGATTGCCAAAAGGTAACGGCTTTACCGGCCAAGTCACAGATACAACTAAGTCGAGTGCGAAACACAAAAATGATATGCGGCGCCGGCACTGCTCTGCACATCCGGTCTAAACAGCGGAAAACAGCAACCAGCAACCCGCAGGCCTTCAAGAAATGCCGAAACCCAGAACTGGCGGGATATGCAGAGGGTGGCAAGTGTCGTGTGTGTGTTTGTGTGTGCTCACCTTCATCAATCCTCCCGCCACGCCGGGCAGGATGCCAATGACGAAGGACGCCATGATCATCGCGAAGGCTACTAGCAAGCCGACAACGATCACATCCCCCATGACTGGGTTGCGGATCTCATCGTAGAGCGCTGGTGCCGGGATACCCCGGAACGCGTCGAACAGCACCATCTCGCCGGTAGTTAGGTGTCTTTCTCCCTAGCTCTACGTCAAGACAACGGAGATGTCTTTTTCAGAAAAAAAGGTCACCTTGCCCAACTGGACGTTTCTCTTCCAGCTAGGATGAGACCAGTGCTGCGGACTGAACTAGATCCCCGAGCACTGAGTGAAGGTTATGTTACTACTCTCAGCTACAAGTAAGTGGCTTTGCTGCAGTTTGCACACGACGCATGCAGACTCAGTCCTCAGTGTTGCATACGATTGCAGTCTGCATAGCTCTGCCGGACTGCAGTTTTGCTCCTTCGGAGACCTATGCCCATGGCTACTACTACTAGTACTAGTAGTAGTACTAGTACATGACTAGTCGACTGTACGAGTATGCTATGCCTACGCTACAGTCTACAATGTACACGTCTACAGCCTACACTACAGATCGGTTTCAGTTTTCTTCCATGGCAGGGCTAGCGAAGCGTCGGCATGAATCACAAACATGCTGCACTGACACATTCCTTCGCGATTTTTCTAGGATTTTTTCACGGGTTTAGTCAACTCCTCGGTTTAGTCCTCACGCTCTCACTAACTCGCAAATTTCGACCCCCCTACACATGCACGGCTTACACGCATACCCCGGCCATCCGGGCAGTCCGGGAACCGGTGAGTTCATGAATTCACGCAGAGCGAGTTGTGTCAAACAAAGGTCTGATCTGTCAATGGGTGAAGTGCCTGCAAGTGGTTGGAAATGGGTGGGCAAAAGGACCTCAACCGGCTCAAGAGCGGGCACTCGAGTGGCTAAATACTCCTGCATTCATGGCGAGGGCAAGGCTGTGCATGGAGACATCACACTGCATGCTTCGTATTCACCTCACTGATTGCAATATTACTGCCGGGTAAGTATATACCGGTCCACTCCATGTACATGTATATGCCTCATGATACTGACAACGCGCTACGTTCAACTGTGTGATTGTGAATTATTTGTGAATCCAAGACTTGCTGAGTGTTTTCAGTTCTATTGCACAACACCGGCGATAGCAAGTGCTTGGTGTTCTGTATGACATGCACTCACTGCATGCACACATGCACACAGTGTGTCTGCCAGTACAATGTACGACCACCACCTTTCACATTCCGATATTGCCACCATGACTGGAGAGTTTGCCGCTTCTAGCAGTCTGCTCACACAGTACAGCTAGCTCCAGTAAAGGCAAAAATCACTCCTGCAAGTGACAATCATGATGATTGTGTGTGTGTGTGTGTGTGTGTGTGTGTGTGTGTGTGTGTGTGTGTGTGTGTGTGTGTGTGTGTGTGTGTGTGTGTGTGTGTGCCTGCGCCATTTGTTAGGAAGGTTTCGTTTTTACCTGTGTGTGCCAGGCACCGACATCGTGTCAGTCCTATGTCATCATCACAATACTAATCATGTGTTTACTGTTTGGTCAATCTTTACTACACACAAATTAGCGAATATTATCTTAGCAAGATTAGCTGCCTACTTTGCTACGCGGGGGGGGGGGGGGGGCACGACAGGCAACTGCAGTGAGTGCTTTCCAAAAATATGCTACAAACTGGATTGGCATGCCCTGTATGCTAAACCTTAGCGGATACTGCCCGCAGAAACATTGGCAGAATTTGGTGACTTTTTCCTGTATGTTTCACATGATGCATGTTTGGCAAGTGGATAAAGCAATGACGCAGAATTCAAGTTGGTGCCCGCCATACGGTTTGTGTGGTTCTGTCAATTTCACTGCTTTTCGAGCCGAGAATCTGCCATTTGTTTCTCCAGCCTTATCTGCCAAGGGCAACGGTGTGCATGATGTGCAGTATTATATCTCAGAGGGTTGGAGTTGGACGTTTAGAACGGAATCTCCAAGTCCAAGGAGCAGCACTCTTATCTTCGGGCTTTAGAGTTCAGTCTCTCACTCACTGGCGCATGGGGAAAGTCTTTCTTCTCTTTTTCTATATTCCTTTCTTTTCTTTTCTTGCCGTGGTTGGCTATAACCCCTCTCTCGCACTTTGCGTGCCAATTGGTCATGAACCACGAGTTGAGTGAAATAAATAAATAAATAAATAGCACCTAGTACTAGTACATCATGGTACATGTACAGTAGTAGGTCTACCTACCGTATTATCTCTAATATAAGCACAGTCTCCAATAATAGCACGTCTCCAATAATAGAACACCTTGGGGCGGCATTCAAAAAATATAGTGCTCAGTCTCCATTATAAGCACACTGTACGTGTAAATTCATTATCCTGTAAAGTAAAAAAACCCTGAAATGTGTGTGTCTGACATGAATTTGGCATGGCAACATGCCTCTGAAATGAGGTTGAAATAATAATGGAACAGTCTCCAATAAAGGAACGTCTCCATTATAGCACGGGGCTGAGGTACATTGAAAAAATAAAGGACCGTGCTTATATTAGAGATAATACGGTAGTAAGGTACAATGTACAATGTACATATACTATGATGTAGGTGACGAGCACCTTTGGCTTTGGCTACCACTGTACCACCAACAGTTGGTGTGTCGCGTTAGTTACTTCGAAGTACAATATACGCCTAGACTAGAGCCTAGACTAGAGCCTAGACTAGAGCCTAGACTAGAGCCTAGGCTAGAGCCTAGGCTAGAGGTGGACCTACAGTGTACATGTACATCATCATCATAGTAAAATAATTTTACATGACTGGGCAATCTGGTACAATTGTGTACAATGACTATGTACATGTAGGTCCACTTTCCTCAAGTAGGAAATGCAGTACATGTACACACATCATTATGGCTATGGCTTTAGCCTTTCATGATCGCTCAGGTGTTGTGAGCTACATGTAGATCTACATGACTGTACAGTGTGCGTGTAGGTCTACAATAGTAATGCACTCAGACTCACCATGGCACTGGCATGATTTCGTGCCGCTATTTTATAGTCCTTACAATGACATTTCACTACAATGTAGTAGGTTGTTCTTGGGAAGTGGACCCCAAAGACTCGGCAAAGAGTATCAAAGATAGTGTTTTGCAACACCCTAGAGATAATACGTGAAACTGCGGCAAACATCCCCGGGAAATACACTGGTCGCTTCCCAACTGATTGGTAAAACGAGCAAAATGGACGTTGGCTCGGTGACCGAGTGTTTGTAACTAGTAGATTGCTATCGTCGATAGTGACCGGACGCCGCGGCACCGCAGAGCTGATACCTGTGACTTGACATTTGAATGCCACTTGTACAGAACACAGTGAGTCATGTTCTGATGTAGGACACGGTCGCCGTCGGATCACGCAGACCATCGCCCGTTCTGTACTACAATCTCTACACGTGTGTAGTACTTTCTGACAAGCAACCCTTCTTATCTGCAGTTCTGGGCCATGGCCCTGGGAGTTCTCTTGGCATCATGTCTCATGCCGGCTGAATGTTCTAGCCAAACATCTTATAAACGACTGCATCCGGAAACCATGGATGCCGTAGGCCTGAGCACCAAAATGAAAAGGTCGATCTAGTCTACTACTATACTAGTAGCTGGATGCATAATGCCACGCACATACACATGCACAGCTGCTAGTGCTACAGTGCTACAGTGCTACAGTCATGTTGTGCTGTACTTTTGAAGTTCTGACGTCCATTGGCGATAGGGAACCTGCAACGAGTCATCATCACATCAGTATGGTTGTACTAAGCCAAAGGGCAAAGGTGAATGAAGGCAGTCAGTTGGAGTGGCAGAACGAGGCATGCATTGCTTGGCTTGCTTCTTCCTGAGGAAGCTACTACCCTTCTCATTGCACCCCGGCCCGGGAGGAACATGAAATCACGTTTAACACCAAGCTGTTAGGCGATGACTATTATCAAGATGGACACCAGCAGGTTGCTTAGTTCCAGGCACGCCAGGCGCCCGCACACAGTGGATATCCGGTGTATGCGGATATCGGGGTGCTTGGCCCAGGCATCATACCATCACGAAGAGAGTTTGTCAAACAATCTCATGGCATCTCTTTGCCTGTTTTTGGCATCAGGTGCTTGCCACCGAATTACGACGAAACTCAGCTCATAACCAGGAAATTGTCAGCGTTATACATGTACAGTGTACTCACATTGTAGAGTGTTAGTGTACAGTCCTCAGAGAACCCTGCCAATCGGAACTCACACTCACCCAGTTAAGTGACTAGTGGCATTTTACATAATTGTAACCTGGCTAGCACTTTAATACATGTACATGTAGTACTGTACTACGAGTTACAGTCAGTGAACTAATGCCTCTTCTGCAGTTTTAAATAATTGCTATGGCACACGCAGACTCGACTAAACTGTACTGGAGCCAGTTCATTGTTTTACAAACAGTAATACCCGGGTACACTGTTGATGATTAATGATAATAATTTTGTCGCAATACCCGTGAGTGCTGGTGGTATACCGGTATGGTCTTGGCTCTGCCTGAAACAGGAAGTCGCGACAGACTTCCCATAAATAAGTCTCTTGTACTTCAGAAGTAGTACCAGGACCGGCGGAAGCAAAATTGTCACGAATTGGTCCGGCCATACTGTACCTTAGTCTTACGTTGTGTATGATATGGAGGTAAACGGGTATACACATGATGACCCCCTCAGCACTAAACGCATGTTGGTGGCCAAAACGTTTTGGTCTGGCCATGCCCATGGCTTGTCCAACTGGATCGGTTCCGGCGGGCCTGAAACCATGGAAACTGTACGGCCAAAAGACGTGGCGTGAATTCCCCGGAACACTGTTATACATGTAGTCTAGACTCGGATGGAGAGCCAATGATTAATTATTTATAGTAGAGAAAAAGGATCAAGGAACTACAAGTTACGATAATGTCCACTAACACCACCAGTTTTTTTGACTTTCAGCTTGCGCTTGTCTTGGTTGCGCTCACCTTCCCCTCCTATGTTTTCATAACTTAGAACCTTCCAAGCTGGGAGGCGGTTGCAGCGCGCACCCAAGACGTGCTAGAGCTGATAGCCAGTTAGTTGTAGAACGTCAGTACTGTCGGTCAGTTTTGTGCAATGTTATTCCATGAGCTGATTGCCAAAATTAATAACTGGGGGTCTCAATAGAGGACATTATAGTGTAACTTGTACGGAAAGTTGTAGTTCCTTGGTCCTTTCTCTCTACTATAAACACTGTTATCGGAAACACTGTGCATTGAGCATGGAGTTGTAGGTTTGCCCTAGT